CGTCAGCATATCTGCCAGCCTAGCATTGTAGAGGCTCGTCCGCTGCCAGCTTCTGATCACGTTCTGGCGGGAGAACCCGCGTTCGCACTTGACTGTGCTGAGTGCACCCACCAAACATAAAGCAAGATATCTACACTGCCACCTTCCCACAAGCAGTAAAATAAAATACATATAACATATTTTGACACGCCCCCATAAATATTTGGGGGAAGAAATGTAGTTATTGCCCCCTAAAGTGGTTCACCAGGGAGAGTGCAGCGAAAGAAGCAGACGACAAGTGAGGAGGAGGGACCATGAGAGGAGAGGAGGTGGTGGGCAACGGGTGAAGCTGCTTGCACACGAGCAACTCGAGCAACTGACACACGGGCAACTGGAGCAACTGGCACACGGGCAACTGGAGTGACTGGCTCTGCGGCTAGACGAGCGGCTGGAGCAACTGACTCACGGGCGACTGGAGCAACGGGCTCACGGGCGACTGGAGCAACGGGCTCACGTGCGACAGGGGCTGCTGGCTTCACAGCGGCCATCCCCCATTCAACCTCCCCCCTTCTCCCCAAACCTCACCCCACAGCAACCACTCCCCTGCTAGCTTCCCCCCCCCCCCCCCCGCGTCCTGCCCCGTATGGTGTGTCGTAAGCCACCCCCCTTCCTTCGGTTGGGCCTATGGGGAAGTCTGTTGAATCTTGAAGCCGGATGCGTACGGGTGCGCCTCCTATGTTGGCCCCTTAGCCACCTTCCCCACGTCCCCCACCTACGTCGCTGCTGTTGCCACAGTCTCTGCCGTCATCGGCGTCATCTTCGCACCCGCTGCAGCAGCCTTCGTCACCGGAACAACTGTCATCGTCGCCGCAATCGGTTGATGTGGAATCTTGGGCGTGCTGGTTCTGGGGATGCTAGCTCTGGGGGTTCTGGTGCTCGAAGTCCTAGTTTTGGGGGTGCTACCGCATGAGGCAGTAGGTGCCATAGTCACCACAACAGTCACAGTCGTTGCCGCAGCAGCCGCAGCCGTTGTCGTCGCCGCCTGTATCTCCATTTCACCTTCTAGGGCTTTCTACCCCTCGCTTGACTGACCACCTGTTCCCCCCTCACCGCCTCTCCCAGCCTATGGTCCCATGTTTCCTCCCCATCTCTAGCCCATCTTCCTCCATGTTCACAGTTGTTTCCTCCTCTGTCTCCTGACCCAACTCCTCCCTCTCACCACTGGGTCCGTTGTCCCTCTCGTGTCCGTGCCAGCGCCAGTCGCCGGCGTCCGCACTGGCGCTCGTCGCGGGCGTCTGCGCTGGCGCCCGGCGAGGACGTTCGCGCTAACGCTGGTCTCGGACGTCTGCGCTGGCGCCCGGCGAGGCCTTGGGCAGGCTGCGCAGGGTCGAGACGGGTCGCGCGCGGACGGGACGGGCTGAGCGCGGGGCAGAACGAGCTGCGCACAGGGAAAAACGGGCCGTGGGCGGGCAAAACAGACTGCACGCGGGGCGCATCGGGCTGCGTGACGAGTGGGTCCATGTCTCTGAAAATGACAGGAAGGCTCCTGGATGGAACTTGCACGGACACCATGTTAAAGTGCTAATTTAGGAATTAAAACTTAGGAGATTAGGTTTAGCCATAGCGAGAGGCTTGAGCAGGAGGGAATTGGCCAAAAACAGAAAGGAGTTCACTATAGAATGTTGGAAACATTTAGGCAAGAGAAGAGAGGTGCACCACCAAACATGAAGCAAGATATCTTACGCTCTATAGAAAAGGAGACCACGCTGCTCCATACTTGTTATAACACGCCCGATACGCCGTCAAGGTTACCAACACTGCCCTCGCAAACGCTCCAATCGCGATAGTCCCTGCATTACTGCTATCCTTTACGGGGGCTCGACGCTTTGTGACGTCAACTCGACCATCCGCATCCGCACAACGTCACCGTGTTGTGTGATGCTGCATTCTAGAAAGAGATGCCAGTCAAACGCGCCCTTCCAGCTTCCGCCTACTCGCAAATGTCCAATTTGCGCCTACCTGGCAGCAAGTTCCATCGACTAGCCGCCAAAAAAAACGAAATACTTAGCGCCGCGGGTGACGGAAGATTAGCGTTTGGGGAAGACTTTCGCAAAAGAAGGAACGACGATGAGACAAATGCGACATCCGTTCACGCAGGGAAAGAAAATGCTTGGAGAAGTGGGGTATCCATCCCCATGCCTCTCGCATGCTAAGCGCTCTACCATCTGAGCTACATCCCCGATACTACAATATAGTCATTTGCAATCCTGACTATAAAACAAAATGGTCTTCCTCAAAGTCTCTCATAAAAAATATCTACAAGAAGCAGCTGCTTTTGGAGACTGCCAACCTGCACAGGCAAGAGAGAAAGAGTAGCACTTGCATTTTGGACTACAAATCTGTAATGTACAAGCACATAGCTCCGACTCCCAGCTCACACTACAGCATACCTTGGCGAGCATGGAGGTCACATCTCCCAACACAACAGGACTAGGAGGTGCGCCCCTGCGTCTTCACGCCTGCGACCGGAGAGCCTCAAGAGCACTAATCAGCTCGTCCTGAAAAAGACGAAGGACAGGGACATGGGAGAGGGGGGATTTGAGTGGCCTTGATACGCAATGCCTGTAAGGAGGAGGATGAGGGGGCTCCAGGGCCTTTGATGCTGCAGGGTGTTATTGAGAATTCTCAAAAACGCCTCCAAGGAGGAAGATGAGGGCGCTCCAGGACCTTCCTCGGTTCGTCCTGCAAGTCTGCAAGAGACATGAGAGAGAGGAGGAATTGCCGAAGCCTCCTATTACTGTCAGAATGTTATAATTGTCTAGCCTGCAGTGGGGTACTCTATAGCGAGTACAACCCAATTAGGGTTTCCTATATGTATGCCAACTGCTGCTACTGCAACCCTCTCTTTTTCATTCCTCATTTTTCACATGCTATCAGAGCATCTACGCTCCTGGCCCGTGGGCCCACCCAACTGCTTCCGCTGCTACTCTGTGCTCCGTGGCGTGCCCCTCGCGCGACCCTTAGCGACCCCGTCGCCACCCCTTGCGGCCCCGTCGCTGCCCTTCTCGGCCCCTCGCGGCCCCTTCGCGGCCCCGTCGCCGCCCCTTCGCGGCCCCGTCGCCGCCCCTACCGGCCCGTCGCTGCCCTTCCAGGCCCCTCGCGGCCCCTTCGCGGCCCCGTCGCCGCCCCTATCGGCCCCGTCGCCGCCTCCAGCGGCCCCGTCGCCGCCTCCAGCGGCCCCGTCGCCGCCCCTTGCGGCCCCGTCGCCGCCCCTAACGGCCTCGTCGCCGACCTTTCAGGCCCCGTCGCCGCCTCCAGCGGCCCCGTCGCCGCCCCTTGCGGCCCCGTCGCCGCCCCTTTCGGCCCTGCCTCGACCCTGCCCCGGCCCCGCCCCGGCCATGCTCCGTCGCCTGTCGCGGCGCACCGGGGGCACGTGCACCGCCCCCCCCCCTCTTTTCCCGTCGCCTGTCGCGGCTCCCTGGGGGGCCGCGACCTGTGGGGGGGGGGCGAGCGTCGCCCCTTCTGCCGCCCTGCTTTGGCGCCCTGGGAGGCCGCGTGTCGGCCCCCCCTTCCCCCCCCCCCCCCCCTCCGTAACCTCCCTACCCGCCATCCCGCCCTGCCCTGTGTTAGGGTTTGGGGGTGGCGGGTGTGTGGTCTCCCCTGCTCCTCCTCCTCCTCTGTCTCCCACTACTGCAGCTGCCGTTGAGGGGGGTGGGTGTGTGGGAGTCGACGGAGTGGTGCTAGGGGGTGGGGTGTGAGTGAACCTAGGGTGCAGCAGGGGGTGTGTGAAAGGGGGGTGCTGTGGGAGTAGAACTAGGGTTTGAGCAGGGGGTGTGTGTCGAGAGGTGTGGGGCAGCTGGAGGAGGTTGTGTGAAGGTAGCTGTCGTGTCGCCTGCAGCGCCTGTAGTCCGTCGCCCTTGCTTCGGTAGCCAGTGAGCCTGTTGCACCAGTCGCCAGTGGGTCCGTTGCTCCTGCCGCTCGTCTATAGCCGCGGAGCCAGTTACTCCAGTAGTCCGTCGCCCTTGCTTCGGTAGCCACTGAGTCAGCCGCTCCTGTGCCCGTGCCTCTGCAGCTTCAGTCGTTGCCTCCCATCTTCTCTCCCTCCACAGTTCCTCCTCCTCCTCACTTGCCCGCTGTGATTAACTCTAGCTTTGCTCCCCATAGTGAACTCCTACTCTATGCCTGCTTGCTCATTGTGTTGATTACACCCCACGTTGGCTATGGGGGTGTGTCAGAATGTTATAATTGTCTAGCCTGCAGTGGGGTACTCTATAGCGAGTACAACCCAATTAGGGTTTCCTATATGTATGCCAACTGCTGCTAGTGCAACCCTCTCTTCTTCATTCCTCATTCTTCACAGTTACGCTCTTACCCTCTATCTTCAACATGATATCACAAAAACACATTCCAAACCTGTACATTATGGGAGAAGACTTATCGAATATGTTAAGCCATATGGATTATCACAAGGAGTATACATTGAAGCAAGTTTACGCCTGCAGCAATCAAAGAAGTGTCAGTAGATCTGCACTGTGGATGCCCGATTGATCTTGGAGAGGGTTACAGGCGCGTTCGCTTGGGGGGTTATGGGCGCACTGACCCGCTACTCAAACAAGCCCTTTTATCCCAATAGTCTAGTGGTTGGGATTCTAACATGGTATCAGAGCGGTCTCGGGTTCGATTCCCGGTGTATGCACATGTAGGCCGTTGCCGCTGTGCTTAGTCCTGGGGCTCCCATTGTGGGGGGGTGTCAGTAGATCTGCACTGTGGATGCCCGATTGATCCTGGAGAGGGTTACAGGCGCGTTCGCCTGGGGGGTTATGGGCGCACTGACCCGCTACTGTAACAAGCCCCTTTATCCCAATGGTCTAGTGGTCGGGATTCTGACAAGAAGCACTATGTGGAGAGTGATACAATTCGTTTGCTTCAACGTAATTTATATGTTATAATGTCTAACAGCATGATCAGTTTGGCGTTTATTATTGCAAGTGCATTTTATCGTACTAGAGTGAGCAGAGTTTATGCTAGAATATTGTATATTCTTATATAATTGCATGTTTTAGCTAATGGTGTTGGGCCTTGGTGGTATACCTCCCCTTGTCCACCTTTCCTATATCTTGTAACTCTCTCACATTGCAAACCTCTTCTTTGTTGGCCAACTCCCTCTCTTCCTAAACCTTAAGTTTCTCCTAAGCTTAGTATCTTGTTATGGTACAGAGCACTAAAACGGTCTAAGGACCTAATTTTTTTTTTTTTTTTTTTACATTGGCTCGCCCTTGCTGCAGCGCGAAATGCGTTTTTTTTGTTTTTTATTTTTTTTTGTTTTTTTTTTTGTTTTGTTTTTGTTTTTTTTTGTTTTTTTTTTTTTGTCTCGTCAACCTGCAGCCCCTGCGCGCGCCCTGTCGGCTGCCCCGCGGACGCCCCGTCGGCTGCCCCGCGGACGCCCCGTCGGCTGCCCCGCGGACGCCCCGTCAGAAGCCCCGCGAACGCTCTGCCCGTCACCCCGCGCGCGCCCTGTCGGCAGCTCCGCGGGCGCCCCCATAGCAGCCCCGCGCGCGCCTTTTTTGTCGCTAGTGCCACGGCCAGCAGCGAGGGCAAGTGCAAGCGCCATCGCCAGCGCCAGCACCGGCGCCAGCGCCAGCGCCTGCGCCAACGCTAATGACGGTGCGAGCGCCAGCAGCAGCCAACCCCCCCCCCCCCCCGCCCTCCCTTCCGCGGCTTCCGTCGTGGGAAGGGGGAGGGGGAGAAGTGGGGGTGGCGGGTGTGAGCAGCCGGCAGCCCGTCCCTCCCCTCCCTCTTCCTCTCTCCCTACAGCACTTGTTGCTGTGGGGGGGAAGGGAAGAGGTTAAGGGGGGAGGAGAGGGAGGTTGAGGGGGTAGAGAGAAGGAGAGAGAGAGAGAGAGAGAGAGAGAGAGAGAGAGAGAGAGAGAGAGAGAGAGAGAGAGAGAGAGAGAGATGGCCCCTCGTTTCCGTTGTCTCTAGGCGTGTTCGCCCCTCGTCGCTCTCACCGGGCATCCATTGTGGGGGTTAAAACGTAGGCGGGTATCCTACCGAAGGGCCCAGCTGCTGCACGGTGATTGATGCGCTCCCTACACCAACTAGTCTGCATGCAATCAAAGGGGGGATGTTAGAATATGGTGTATTATTACATAATTGCATGTTTTAGCTAGTGGTGTAGGGTCTTGGTGGTATACCCCATTTGTCCACCTTTCCTATATCTTGTAGCTCTCTCAAATTGCAAACCCCTTCCCTGTTCCCAACTCCATGTCTTCCTAAAACCCAAGTTTCTTTTAAGCCTAGTATCTTGACAGCATATGGTATGGTAATTTTATTAACTGTTGATCTGAGAGGGACACCTCTGAGTGTACCCTTTTTGGATGGAGAGGTTCTGCTCTAGTGTAATGAATATAGCAACTCATTACTGGGTCTGCTTCTTAGGCGTACAGCCTCGGGCACTTCGCGCCAGTTTTCGGTTCGGCCTACACTTCGGCCCGAACCACTACCGAATCGCTCCGCACTAATCGCGACAAATCCAACCCATGCACATCCCGAGGTCCGCGCCTAGCACGTATTCGCCCTATAAATGCTTGCTTTATTCTGTAATTCATCATTTTTATAAAGTCTTCTGCGCACTCTGTTTAGTACAACTAATAACATCTAGCGTGTCAAAGAACTCCAAATCGCACCCGGGCTCAGATGTACCGTCACCAGCGTTCTGTCACGGAACGGAACGTCTGTGTTTCTGGGAGGACGAATGTAAGGAAAATCTCTTTTTCCTTACTTCGCGTCCCTGCTCAACGCATACATCACTGTAGCACCACAGTCAGCACCGTTACCACTCGCAATCCTCGCATCGACAATCCGCCCGCCACCTTCGTACGTCACACCCCGACCTCACGGCTCGGCGGGTAACCCGCGCTCCGGGCCTCCGCTTCGACAATTTTCCCAACCTCAGTCCCAGGCCCGTCGCGCGACAACCACAGTCTATTACCGTTACCACTGTAGTTTCGCTATATATTCTTTGCTCATGCCTTAGCTCATTGTACTCTTGCTTCGATAGTGCAATTCTAGTTCGTTCACTCAATTGCACTCGTAACAACAAACGATGCTTCACAAATCATTACAGTATGACCCAGCTTGCAAGATACAAACCGAGGCGCAACTGCCCACGTTTGCCTCCTGACGCTGAACGGTCAGGATGAACCTGAATTGAATAATTGATTCAGCATCCTGAGCGGAATAGTGTGTCTAAAAATGGTGGGTAGCGGTTTGAGATGGTGAATGTATATCACTCATCCAGACTACACAGCATCGTACTCAACCGAACGAACTTGAAGAACCTCGATTGTCTGACACCCCCTCGAGATTGCCACACTGACGTTCCTGCGGGGAGGTCCTGCTTGGGTTTGCCGTAGTGAAGATTGGTTTTAAGTTTTAAGTTTTATTGATGGTCGTAGTGAAGATTGGGCTACTCCGTAGAAAGCTTCAGTTTCTCGTGCTCTGTCATTCCTAATAGCGGAACCACGCGATTTTACTGACTGAGACCTTTTTAGGAGATGGAGCCCAGCTTATTCAAATATTGCTGCATCAGTCTAGGGTTCCTCCTCTCGGCCGCTGCGCTACCACTAGCGCATGCAGAGTCCAATGCATGGCCGTATATTCTCACATTCAAAATAGTCAAGACGTTTCCGCATGACACGTCAGCCTTCACGGAGGTCCGTATTCGTGTGCCGTTCGCGTCCATGCGCCGTTCGAATCCATGTGACACGTCACCCGTCTTTCTCGTCCTACCGCTGAATTTCCACCTCGTCTTTAACAACTCCTCGTCTTCATTTCCTCTGCCGGCTTATTGTCTGCGTTTGTTATCATTCTCTGCGACTCCCCTTCCCCGCTGAACAGGGTCTGGTGTACGTGAGTCATAATGCGAGCGGAGGAAGAAGCAGCGGGGAAGGAATCTTCTACGAATCTACTGGGATGCGTGGACAGGTAATCCCGCTTAGAATGGACGCAGTACCAGCGTAACATGAAGCCTCCTGATTCATTATAGCTGTATGATCATTTCTACACACGGACGTCAAGTTGGTCGTCTGTGATTTGAGACGTTTCAGAATGGGTATACCCTATTTCCTGTTCCCTGTTCAGTGGATACAGCCACTGGAATGTTCTCCAGCTAAGCATCCTTCTATTCCTGCCTCTCTCTCGTCCCCACCCTGTTTTCTTCACTCTGTCTCCCCCTCCTTGTGTGCAGTCCAGTGTGAGAGAAGTGGACGTCGCCACAGGGAAGGTATGCTTGTACGACAAAAGAAACCTGATGTATACTTTAGCTTTTGAGAATTCTAAAAAAAAACCTAATGTGTACCATCTTATGCCCATCCAGCGTGTACAGCTGTGTATGAGAAGCTGCTGCCAGTATCCATCTCATCATGACTACTACACATACGAGATGCTTAGAGAAGAATATGTTACGTTTGTATGCTTGCTGCCCCTCACCCACGACTCTTAGACAGGCGTACAAAACCCAACCAGCCACCCACCCATGCACCCACCCATCACCCACCACACACCACGCAGGTTCTCAAGAAGGTGCCTCAGAGCGCTCCGGTGTTCAGTGAAGGGCTTGCACTCATCAACGACAGGTCGGGTGTGAGACGTCCCAACAGCCTCTTACCCTATCCACTTACCCACCCACCCACCATCCACCACCCATCACACTGTCGTTGGAAACAGTTGAAGCTGTATAGTTGCTTGGTGTAGATGGTGACCCACCGTGTGTGTCTAAACAGCTTTTGAGGCGCCTCAATTGAAGCTGTATTATTGCTTGGTGTAGATGGTGACCCACCTTGTGTGTCTAAACAGCTGCTGCTGCCTCGGTCTTTAGCCCGTCCTGTCTCTGACGCCCTCTGTCTTTTGCCTGTGTCTGTTGCTGGATTTCTGTCCCCTCAGGCTGTTTCAGTTAGCGTGGCAGGTGAAAACGGGAACGATATACAACCGCAAAAGTTTGCAAAAGATAGGTGAGAGATAAAAAAATTTCAGGGGCAGGCTAGTTGTGAACGAATCAGTCCCTCCCACCTTATCGGTCTCAACTCAGTGTTTCCGACCCGGTTCAACCATCCTCCCCCCCCCGCATCCGTTCATTTCTCATACCCACAAGGAGGTGTGTCACAGACCCCCGCTCACACACCTCCTTCACCCACCACTCTCATGCGGCTCCTTCCAGGCAGCTTCCGCCACCAGATGACGGACGGTTGGGGCCTGTCAACGTACAATAAGTCGCTGCTGGTGGGCTCCGATGGCACCTCCTACATCTACTTCATCAGCGCAACCACCTTCAAGAGTGAGTTTGCAGCAACACGCATAATCGTGCTTTAACACACCTGCAGCGCACTGCCAGTCGCTGCTGGTGGGCTCCAATGGCACTTCCTACATCTACTTCATCAGCGCAACCACATTCAAAAGTGCGTCCATAGGCCTTCTAGAGTAGGTAGGTAGTGGGTTGGGCACCACAAGGGGCTGTTTGAAAGAAGCACCAGACGAGTGACGGGTGGGGCCTATCGACTTACAATTAATCGCTGCTGGTTGGCTCTGATGGCACTTCCTACATCAGCGCTACTACCTTGAAGGCCGAGTTAGTAGCATCACAATCATGTGCATATTCACGCTTCGACGCATCTCAAGCATACAGCCATTCGTTGCTGGTTGGCTCCGATGGCGCATGCATCATACATCTACTTATGGTCAGTGCAACCAGCTTTGAAAATACGTTAATTGCATCACGCTTGTGTGCTAAGTAGCGGTCATTCTTTGAACCCCTTCGAGCGTGTAATTAACTTTTGAGTCGACTCAAAAGTCAACTAAGTAGCGGTCATTCTTTGAACCCCTTCGAGCGTGCAATTAACCGATGCTGGTTGGTCCTGGTTGCGCCTCCTATATCGACTTCATCAGTGCAACTACCTTCAAAAGTGTGTCCATAGACGAGAGTAGGCAGTGGAATTGCAAGCAGCTTGAAGAGTATGCCATGTCACAGCATGGGCTTCCCTTTGTGAGATACATAACATCAACCATTCTCTGCTGCAATGGCGCCTCCTGTATTTACTTTCTCATCGGAAACAACTTAGAGAGCTGGTTCACCACATACAGCAACCATTCTCAACCCCCCTCAACCCCCCACCCATCTCAGCGCTGCACAAGGTGAAGGTGACTGATGGTGGCACACCTATAGCGTGGATCAATGAGCTTGAAGTGCGGGGCGGGCGTATCTATGCCAACGTGTGGCAGGTGCGAGGGGGGAGGGGGAGGAGAGTGGGAGCGTGGAGGGTCATGGATGCATGGGGTTGGATGGGAGTGCTGTATGGGTGAACGCCCATAGCGTGGATCAACGAGCTTGAAGTGCGGGGTGGCCGTATCTATGCCAACGTGTGGCAGGTGCAGGGGAGGGGGGTGAGAGTGGGAGAGGGAGGTGAGAGAATATGGATGCATGGGGTTGAATGGGAGTGCTGCAAGTGTGAACTCAACGAGCTGCAAGTGCAGGGCGGACGTTTTTTCCGAGGCAAATCAAAGTAAACAAAGTCCTTCCTTCCCTTCCCCATCCCTTCTGGTCCGTCCCTTTACCCTCAGACGGATTGCATCGCGGTGATCGACCCGCTGTCAGGGCGAGTGGCGGCCTGGATGGACCTGCAGCGCCTGCGGTGAGTGCTGTGCTGGTTGGTGTGTGCAGTGAGCATGTGCATCATTTGAACTGGGCATGCAGGTCGAGTGTCAAGTGAATGGTGTCAGGGCCAGTGGCGGCCTGGATGGACCTGCAGCGCCTGCGGTGAGTGCTGTGCTGGTTGGTGTGTGCAGTAAGCATGTGCGTCATTTGAACTGGGCATGCAGGTCGAGTGTCAAGTGAATGGTGTCAGGGCCAGTGGCGGCCTGGATGGACCTGCAGCGCCTGCGGTGAGTGCTGTGCTGGTTGGTGTGTGCAGTAAGCATGTGCGTCATTTGAACTGGGCATGCAGGTCGAGTGTCAAGTGAATGGTGTCAGGGCCAGTGGCGGCCTGGATGGACCTGCAGCGCCTGCGGTTAGTGCTGTGCTGGTTGGTGTGTGCAGTGAGCATGTGCATAATTTGAACTGGGCATGCAGGTCGAGTGTCAAGTGAATGGTGTCAGGGCCAGTGGCGGCCTGGATGGACCTGCAGCGCCTGTGGTGAGTGCTGTGCTGGTTGGTGCATGCTGTGCTGTGAGCGGATGCAATCCGTCTGGTCTGTTCTCTCTGTAACCGACCCGTTTCTTTCTTCTCCCTCTCACGAACCCTCTCCCTCTCACCTATCTCTCTCATTCTCTGTCTTGTCGTGCCTCAGGGCGCTAGCAGCAGCCCAAGTGAAGCCCAACCAGGAGTTTGATGTGCTGAACGGCATTGCATGGGATGCACAACAGAGGCGCCTCTTTGGTACGGGCATTGCATGGTTTGATTACACCATGCAACGACTCTTTGGTTCCACCCCTCATGGCCCTATGCGGTGAATTTTGAGTCGACGCAAAAGTCACCTCACAACAGAGGCGCCTCTTTGGTACGGGCATTGCATGATTTGCTTGCTTGGGTTTGGCTCCACCCCTCATGGCCCTATGCCCCCATGCTTCCCAGTTTCCCCTGAATTCTCAGTCAATCTTTACCACGCCCTGTCTTCCCAGATGCTGGTGATCAGGCTTTTCTCTCTCTCTCTCTCTTTGAGCATGATTATCAGCACATCTCACCTTATTACCATCATCCCGCTTGTCCATCCCAAGCCTTCCTTTGAGGCACCTCCGAAAGTCATCTTGCTCCACGTTTCCATTATCCACCTGTCCATAAGTATCTCACCCTATCATGAGTATCTCCTGTCCATCCTATGTCGTAACCCTCACCATTTCCTCATTATTCTCTGTGGCATTCCTTTGCAGTCACGGGGAAATACTGGCCTCGGGTGTTCCAGATCGCTCCCAAGACCCTCACAAGATCAACTGCTGATGATGTGGCAGCCATTCGGCTGAGGTGCCACCCACAGGTGTACAGGAGATGAGACGAGACGAGCCATCCGAACATGCCACCCATCGGTGTGTGGGGGACGATATGCGAGGCAAATAAGCATCTGTTCAATGCAATTGGGGAATGATATTTCCCAACCATGTGTTCTTGCTATATACATTCTGTGGAATGTAGATGTTACCCTATCTCTGTCTAAGTTCATGGACGAAACGAAGGGTGGGTGTTCCACGTGCATATGCGATATTCACACCCAGTTGATGTTTAAATGCGGCAGTTGTGAACATGCTACCGGTAATTTCCTTTTGGATACGGATGGATATGATAGAAGCACCATCCACCTTTAGCTGCTGGTCCTGTACTCAAGGATAGGTAACATATCCATTTTATAAGTGGTAATTCCATAAGGTACAAAATATCTTAGTCGTATCATGAGTCAAGTGCAGAGGCATGTATATAGAACGAACCTTTTGAATTCGTTGTACGGAAAAGTACAACGAATCCTCGCCATGACACGTCACGCCAGTTCGAATGCGAGGATGAGGAGCGGAATACTTGCCGCTCCCTTGAGAATACCGTAGACCGTAACTTGCAATTTTTTCGCAGACTTCTTCTCAACCAGGTTTCCGTCTAGTAGACGGAACAACATTCCTTGCATAAGAACCTTCAGTATTATTCAGTCAGAGCTCTCGTCCTTGCATACGGACTTTCCGTACATTTTCCTCCATTCTGTCAACGCGTTTCGCGTGCATGAGCTCCCGCTTTCATTAACTGATCCAACGGCCCGATGGGCTCGCTATTATCGAGGCTGCTCGCCAGCCGTCCGATGGCCGGCCCCACGATGGTGGTGAAGGATCTCGTTCTGATCGGCGGAGGTCACAGGTGCGCTTTCCTCGAAGCTTCTTGGCGTGGTCCCATATTAATCTTCATTCTGCAAGAGCACGCTAGTAGAGTCCTTTTCCCACCCACTCCTTTATGTCACGCAAGCTCCTTTTGATCCCAGAGCACCCCAGAGCATTTCAGAGCACCCCAGAACACCCCAGAGCAACCCAGAGCAGGGCTTTCCTGGCTCTCCCTCCCGCTCTCCCTCCCGCTCTCCCTCCCGCTCTCCCTCCCGCTCTCCCTCTCGCTCTCCCTCCCGCTCTCCCTCCCGCTCTCCCTCCCGCTCTCCCTCCCGCTCTCCCTCCCGCTCTCCCTCCCACTCTCCCTCCCGCTCTCCCTCCCGCTCTCCCTCCCGCTCTCCCTCCCGCTCTCCCTCCCGCTCTCCCTCCCGCTCTTTCTTCTAATTGGTGTGAGATTTCCTTCGATCCTCCTTCCTTCGATTTCCTTCCTGGCTCTTCCCCGCTCATCCTCCCCGTCCCTCCTTCCGTCACTCCTTCCTTCCCCCCTTTTCCAACACCCCCCCCCCCCCCCTCAAACCCCCCTCCCTCTCCCCCCCCCTCCCCTGAAACCATGCCTGCTGCATGCTGGGTATGTTTTTTGAGAATTCTCAAAAAACATACCTCACACCCCCCCCCTCTCTCCCCCCCCTCCCCTGAAACCATGCCTGCTGCATGCTGGCAGCCACGTGGTGGTGCTCAAGAGCTTCGCCATGAAGCCGATGCCAGGTGTCAGGCTCACATTGGTCACTCGGGACGTGCACACGCCTTACAGCGGCATGCTGCCAGGCCTCGTGGCCGGTAAGAGCATTCACCTCACTTCCTTCCTGACATACACTGAGACGTGCACTCGAATCTGCAGTAGAGGCATCCCGAATCCCAATTGCCCCCTCCCATCCCATCCACTACTCTTGACATGCAGTTAGACGTGCACTGCGACGCGCACTGAGACGTGCACTGCGACGTGCACCGCGACGTGCACTGCACTGACCCACCCAGGTCATATCGGCCTGCACTTGACATACTCTCGGCCCAACTCACCAACGCTTGCCTGCTCCACTGCTGCTCCTCGGACCTGAACCTGGGAGGATCACTGCTCTCTCTTCTCTTCCCCCACAGCCTTTCCCATTTCCCTGTCCCTCTCCCGCCTTCCCCCGTCTTCCTCTTCTCCTCTTCCCTCTGCCACGCACCCAGGCCACTACACGTACGACGACTGTCACATCGACCTGCGCCCCTTGGCCCAACTCACCAACGCTCGCCTGCTGCACTGCTGCGCCTCTGGCATTGACCTGGATCAACGTGCTGTGGTGCTGGCGGATGGGCGCCCCCCCATTCGCTACGACGTACTGTCCATTGATATCGGGATCACTCCACTGGTATGCCGTCACGTCATGCACGAGTGTCACCTCTCTGGTAACCGCTGCTGCACTGCTGTGCCTCTGGCCTGGACTTGGAGCAGAGAGCTGTGGTGCTGGCGGATGGGCGTCCTCCTATTCGCTACGACGTGCTTTCCATTGACATCACTGGTATCCTGTCACCTCACGTACGCACTACCAACATCCGCTGCTGCACTGCTGCGCCTCGGGCCTGGACTTGGATCAGCGAGCTGTGGTGCTGGCGGATGGGAATCGCTTTTGAGAATTATCAAAAGCGATTTCCATGTACTTGGATCAGCGTGCGTGCTGTGGTGCTGGCTGGTGGATGGGCGCATGCTTGCCCATTTGTTACGGCGACCCGTGTCTTGATACTCCGCCCCACTCCCATCCCCTCCTTCCATCCGTCTGAGCAGCAATCAGTGCCAGGAGCAAAGGAGCTCACCCTCCCAGTGAAGCCCATCGACTCCTTCACCCACCGCTGGGAGGCTCTGCGGTCACGCATCCTCTCCCTCGCCCCTGTGAGTTGTACTGGGGGGGTTGGTCATGCGTGTGGGTGCAAGAGTGCATCCCCCGAGGATCGAATCAAATTAGATCAAGCACCACCACCAGCAGCGCCCTCCCAGTGAAGCCCATAGACTCCTTCACCCACCGCTGGGAGGCCCTGCGGTCACGCATCCTCTCCCTCACCCCTGTGAGGTGAATCAGAAGGACTCCAGCATGAAAATGGCATGTGAGGCTACTACGGATTTACCAAAAAACACAGAAATTAAGGCGCCTCATTCAACTCGTGGGTGTTTGGTCTAGTGGCATGATTCTCGCTTAGGGTGCGAGAGGTCCCGAGTTCAATTCTCGGAACACCCCTTTGTCTATTTACATATCGCTGCAGTACCCATGGATATTTTTAGGCACCTCAAAAACCTCCTCTCCCTGGTCCCTGTGAGTTGCTTCAACCAACCTTCCTCCAAGTTGTAAACCTTTTAGATTGAGCTGATATTTACACCCGGATCTTAATGAGGCCCCAACCACAGTCCACTCATTCGCTCACCGCTGGGAGGCCTTACAGTCACGAATCCTCTCTCGCCCCCCTGTAATTTGCACTGGGAAGGTTAGTGGTGGGTCTAAGGGAGTGTGACTCGATCTAAGCTAGGTCCCCATTTTACGAGGTGACTTTTGAGTCGACTCAAAAGTCACTGGGAAGGTTTGTGGTGGGTCTAAGGAAGTGTGAGTCCCTTAGACTCACCACAAGGGGGTGTGACTCGATCCAAGCTAGGTCCCCATCTCCATCCACCCCGCATCTCCCCAATTCCACCACCACGCAACACTGCCTCTTGACTCACTGCATCTCCATCCACCCCGCATCTCCCCAATTCCACCACCACGCAACACTGCCTCTTGACTTTATAATATAGCGCTCCACACTTGTTACTGGGCCGACGGGCTTCAACGTGCGTTTGCTAACGGGATTTAGCCTGGTGGGAGAGGAAGCGACAGGGGGGTTGGAGCTGCCTCACTTGCATCCACCGTCCCGCAACCCTCCCAATGCAACCCAGCCAGCTAGCAACCACTCTTTTCCCTTGAACATCAGGGCTCTAGCGTGCGAGTGATGGTAGTGGGAGGGAGAGCAGGGGGTGTGGAGCTGGCATCATCCACATTCACTGTCCTGCACCCTTCCCAACCCAACCCTACCGTTCACCACTTATTCTCTTACAGGGCTCTAGTGTCCGTGTGGTGGTGGTGGGAGGGGGCGCAGGAGGGGTGGAGCTGCTTCTGGCCATGCAGCACCGACTGCAGCAGGACTGCCTGGTAACCAGATAAGCGGTGGTAACCAGACAGTGGTAACCAGCTGGGGTTAAGAACTTCTGCCATTCCAATCCCTACAGCGTTGCCTTTGCAGCTATGATCTGAAGATTCTGCCTTTGTTGTGTCAGTCTTACAGAAATCAGTTAGTGCCTTCAAGAGCAATTCAGTTTTTTGTTTGTTCTGGTTTTTTATATTTGTGCGTTTTGCAATATTTTGTGTGTGTGTGTATGTGTGTGTGTTTGTGTGTGTGTGTGTGTGTGTGTGTGTGTGTGTGTGGTTTTTTTTTTTTTTTTTTTTGGTAATACAGAAAAGCCAGGTGTATGCCTCTTTTGTGCTTATAACGAGGGGGGATCTGCTGCCCACCCACAACGCACGCGTGCGATTGATTGTCCGACGGATCTTGAAGGAGAGAAGTGAGTGAGGGGGGAGTGGAAGAGGAGTGCGGTAGGAGTGAGGGAGAGGAGTGAGGGAGAGGAGTGAGGGAGAGGGGTGAGCGAGAGGAGTGAGGGAGGTTTACGAGGGAGGGGAGTGAAGGTGCTTGATGCGATGATATCTTATCTCTCAAGAAGAGTGTTACCGTTTGCGGCCCATCAACTGGAAGTAACCGTCAGCTGTCTATCCAGTCACCATCCAGGTGACTTTTGAGTCGACTCAAGAGTCAGCTTTTTTTAGTCACCATCCCTCCATGACAACAGTGTGAAAGCTCATAACCTTTTAGGTATCTAATCCTATTCAATCCACCATCCCTCACCCCACATGCGTGCAACCGTCAATGAATGAACCAGGTATTAAGGTTCTCGATGCTGCAGTGGTGGCAGTGAGACAACGAGGAGTGGAGAGCGGTGGAGAGGGAGGGGATAGAGAGGGAGCGGTGGATGGGGCGGAAGGGGAGGTCGGCAGGGGAAGCAGCAGCGGGGCGGGTGGAGGGGAAAAGAGAGAGTCGGCGGTGCAAGGAGGGGTGCTGGTCTTGGAAGGGGGAGAGGAGGTGGAGTTTGACGAGTGTGTGTGGTGCACACAGGTGGGTGTGCTAGTGTGTGGAGTGAGCAAGAGGGTAAGAGTGTGAGGAAGGAAGTCTGAGAGTGAAGAGGAAAGGGGAGGAAGGTGTTTACTGTCTCACATCCCAGCCCCATTGAGGCCTAAACTCCCTATGCTTTTGTCTTACACTTGTACCGAGCATCCACTCCTCTTCTCTCGTTGCTCCCACCAATCCCTCCCAGGGCGGTGCAGCCTCCTGGCTCGCCCAAACAGGCCTAGCTCTCGACAGCAACGGCTTCATCCGAGTGGGGGACACACTAGAGTCGATCAGCCATAGAGGGGTGTTCGCCGCAGGGGATATCCACTCGTCAATTGCCCATATCCCCCCACCTCCCGCCTGCCCCATCTCCTGCCAAACCCCCCCCACCTCCTACGTAACACCCCTGCTTCCCAGGGAGGAGCAGCCTCCTGGCTTGGCCAAACGGGTCTAGCCCTGGACAAAAACGGCTTCATCCGAGTGGGGGACACGCTAGAGTCGATCAGCCATAGAAGGGTGTTTGCAGTGGGGGATATCCACTCATCCGACGTTTACCCACGGCCGAAGGCGGGCGTGTTTGCAGTGCGGCAGGGCATGCCCTTGGCGGAAAACTTGAGGAGAGCGCTTCTGGATCAGCCTTTGAAACCCTTCCAACCGCAGAAAACGTTTCTGAGCCTCATCAGGTGTGGTGGTTTGTATGAATGTGTATGTGTGTGTCGACTGAGTGGGGTCAAAGCCAAGACTGGCGTGTTTGGTGACTTTTGAGTGGACTCAAAAGTCACCTATGTGTGTGTCGACTGAGTGGGGTCAAAGCCAAGACTGGCGTGTTTGGTGACTTTTGAGTCGACTCAAAAGTCACCTATGTGTGTGTCGGTCGACTGAGTGGGGTCAAAGCCAAGACTGGCGTGTTTGCAGTGCGGACGGGAATGCCCCTGACTTTTGAGTCAACTCAAAAGTCAGCTCAAAAGTCAACTCATAAGTCAACTCAAAAGTCAACTCAAAAAGTCAACTCGCCTGGCTGAGAATCCGAAGAGAGCGCTTATGGATCAACATTCAAAACCCTTCAAACCTTTTTGAACCTCCTCGGGTGCATTGGTTTACATGTATCTGTGTGCCTATTGACTGGGTTGTTCAAGTAACAGGACCGAAGTCAGGCATGTTTGTGGTGGGGGGGGTATGTATTGGATATCCATTTACAGTCAAACTCTCAAGCAGTCAAACTCTCTGTCTCACAACCTTGCCATTCGCTCACATCCCCTCGCTCACATCCCCTCGCTCACATCCCCTCGCTCACATCCCCTCGCTCACATCCCCTCGCTCACATCCCCTCGCTCACATCCCCTCGCTCACATCCCCTCGCTCACATCCCCTCGCTCACATCCCCTCGCTCACATCCCCTCGCTCACATCCCCTCGCTCACATCCCCTCGCTCACATCCCCTCGCTCACATCCCCTCGCTCACATCCCCTCGCTCACATCCCCTCGCTCACATCCCCTCGCTCACATCCCCTCGCTCACATCCCCTCGCTCACATCCCCTCGCTCACATCCCCTCGCTCACATCCCCTCGCTCACATCCCCTCGCTCACATCCCCTCGCTCACATCCCCTCGCTCACATCCCCTCGCTCACATCCCCTCGCTCACATCCCCTCGCTCACATCCCCTCGCTCACATCCCCTCGCTCACATCCCCTCGCTCACATCCCCTCGCTCACATCCCCTCGCTCACATCCCCTCGCTCACATCCCCTCGCTCACATCCCCTCGCTCACATCCCCTCGCTCACATCCCCTCGCTCACATCCCCTCGCTCACATCCCCTCGCTCACATCCCCTCGCTCACATCCCCTCGCTCACATCCCCTCGCTCACATCCCCTCGCTCACATCCCCTCGCTCACATCCCCTCGCTCACATCCCCTCGCTCACATCCCCTCGCTCACATCCCCTCGCTCACATCCCCTCGCTCACATCCCCTCGCTCACATCCCCTCGCTCACATCCCCTCGCTCACAGCACCGGTGATAAATACGCGGTCTTCTCTCGGGGCTCGTTGGCCTTTGAAGACAGTATTATGTGGACGCTCAAGGTGAGAAAGCAGCTGGACCTCCTTCCTTTATACCATTTTACCGCTCAGCACCGCATCGATCGAGCCTTCCTGAGGCAGTTCAGCCAACTGCCCGCCTTCATCCTTTGGCTGAACTGCCGCATCACCCTTTGAGGCACTGAAACACCTGTAATCGACATCTCGCCCCCTTCCCCCCATCCAAACCTTCCAACCGCTCAGGACCGCATAGACCGGGCGTTCATGCAGCAGTTCAACCAACTACCTGCCATGCCGTCACCTCCTCTCCCCACCATCCCCGTCGCACACACGGCCGGGCCTGAAGCGCTCCTGGCACTCAAAAGCATGCCCATGCGCTGTGGGGGGTGTGGTTCCAAGGTGAGAGAGGCGTGTAGGTCGACGTGTAAGTCTCCACCTATCGCCCCCTCTCCCCACCATCCACGTCGCAAACACGGCCGGGCCTGAAGCGCTCCTGGCACTCAAAAGCATGCCCATGCGCTGTGGGGGGTGTGGCTCCAAGGTGAGAGAGGCGTGTAGGTCGACGTGTAAGTCTCCACCTATCGCCCCCTCTCCCCACCATCCCCGTCGCACACACGGCCGGGCCTGAAGCGCTCCTGGCACTCAAAAGCATGCCCATGCGCTGTGGGGGGTGTGGCTCCAAGGTGAGAGAGGCGTGTAGGCCGACGTGTAAGTCCCCACCTATCGCCCCCTCTCCCCACCATCCCCGTCACACACACGGTTGGGCCTGAAGCGCTCCTGGCGCTCAAAAGCATGCCCATGCGCTGTGGGGGGTGTGGCTCCAAGGCGAGAGAGAGACCTCTGTGCTCCAAGGTGGGATGTGGACTCCCATGTAAGGTGAGGTGTTACATGCGCTTTGGTTCCACGCCTTCTTGATTGAAGAAGGGTTTTGAGCCGTCTCAAAACCCTTCTTCAATCATGTGGACCCCCATGTAAGGTGAGGTGTTACATGCGCTTTGGTTCCACGCCTTCTTTTGAGGTCGTTTTTGAGGCGGTTTTTGAGGCGCCTCAAAAACTCCCATGTAAGGTGAGGTGTTACATGCGCTTTGGTTCCACGCCTTCTTCATGCCACCGCCCCCTCCCCCCACCATCCCCGTCGCACACATGGCTGGGCCGCTGCAATCAAGAGCATGCCCATGCGGTGTGGGGATTGTGGCTCCAAGGCGAGTCATTGCTAGCTGCGATGTGGGCATGCATTCGCAGTGAGACATATTTCCCTACACCGGACAGCGCGCTCTTGCATCTCCTATCATCACCCACCCCTCAATCGCTCTCCCTTGTCTCTCGCCACCCTCCTGAAGACACCACACAGCCATCTTCTGTCTTCACTCATCTCTTCTCTCCCAACCCTTCCCCCCCCCCCCCCCCCCTATCCCACCAGGTTGGCTCTTCCCTTCTCTCCCGCGTCCTCACTCGTCTCGCAGCTCTCCCCAGCCGCCCGCCTGGCCACCCGGAAATCCTCCTGGGGCTTGACTCACCTGATGATGCCGCTGTGCTGGCGATTCCACCTGAGGGAAAGGGCGGCTGTCAGGTATGCATCTGAAAATTCTCCTGGGGCTTGACTCACCTGACGATGCCGCTGTGCTGGCGATTCCACCTGAGGGAAAGGGCGGCTGTCAGGTATGCATCTGAAAATTCTCCTGGGGCTTGACTCACCTGACGACGCCGCTGTGCTGGCAATTCCACCTGACAGCACGGGTGGCAGACAGGTGCGCATGTGGAATTTCTCCTGGCTAATCACCTGATGCTGCCGTGGTGGGTGATTCCACCTGAGAGCAAGGCTGGCTGTCAGGTATGCAAATTCACCTGACGATGCTGCTGTGCTGGCGATAACACCTGACAGCACGGTCGGCGTTAGTCAGGTACGCATCCGGAAATTCTTCAGGGCTGAATTGATGGAATCACCTGGCCTCACACCTGACAATTCGTCTGCATGTGGCTGTCTTCCCATCTCTCTTCTCCCCATCTCCATTCTCCCATCTGCCACCTCTCATTGGCCCCTGCCCTGCCCTCACAGCTGTGTGCCTTTTCCCCTCCACACTCCACTCTCCACCACCCCAATCAGAACCCAGTAGTGGTGCAATCAGTTGACTTCCTCTCCGACCCGCTCCTTCCTCTCCGACCCGCTCCTTCCTCTCCGACCCGCTCCTTCCTCTCCGACCCGCTCCTTCCTCTCCGACCCGCTCCTTCCTCTCCGACCCGCTCCTTCCTCTCCGACCCGCTCCTTCCTCTCCGACCCGCTCCTTCCTCTCCGACCCGCTCCTTCCTCTCCGACCCGCTCCTTCCTCTCCGACCCGCTCCTTCCTCTCCGACCCGCTCCTTCCTCTCCGACCCGCACACCTTTGGTCGGATTGCCGCCCTCCATGTTCTCACGTGCTTCATGTTTGTTCCCCACCTCCCTTCTCCCCCTGTCTGAGCAACCAGAGCCCAGTGTTGGTGCAAACGGTCGACTTCTTCCACTCCTTCCTCTCCGATCCGCACACCTGTGCCCACATACCTGCCACTGCCGCCCTCCCTGCCACAACAAGCCATATGCTTTCCCTCTGTCTCCCTTCTCCCCCTGTCTGAGCAACCAGAACCCAGTGGTGGTGCAAACGGTCGACTTCTTCCGCTCCTTCCTCTCCGATCCGCACACCTTTGGTCGAATCGCTGCTCTCCACGCTCTCACAAAGTGCATGCTTCCCCTTTTTCTTTCATCTCTCCCTCGCTCTCCCACCAGAGCCCAGTGTTGGTGCAAACGGTCGACTTCTTCCGCTCCTTCCTCTCCGACCCGCACACCTTCGGCCGCATTGCCGCCCTACATGCTCTCAGTGACTGCTTCGCCATGGGTGCTGACCCCGTCTCAGCGCTTGCTATAGTCACACTGCCCTATGGTACCGAGGAGAAGGTGAGACCCCCCGTTACTGTCACATTGCTTGCCGTCCTCCACGCTCTCGGTGACTGCTTCGCCATGGGTGCCTTCCCCCTCGCTCTCCCATTTTCGTCTCTTCCCATCTCCTATGTCTCCCGCTCCCACTCTCATCAGATGGAGGAGGAGATTTTCCAGCTCATGCCAGGGGCCATCTGCGAATCAAAAGCGCCCCTTTTGCTCTCCCTTCTCCCTCCCCCTTCCCTCCACTTCTCCCCCTTCCTTGTCCGACTCATCCATCTCCCCCTTCACTCCCACTCCCCCACTTCTCCTTTCCACTCTCATCAGATGGAGGAGGAGCTTTTCCAGGTCATGGCAGGGGCCATCCGCGAATTGGATGCTGCCACGTGTCAGCTGGTGGGAGGGCACACTGTGGAGGGTGCTGAGCTGTCGCTGGGGTTTGCTGTCACGGGATTGGCTGACAGAGACCGGCTGCTGAGGAAGGTACATGAGTAACTACTTTTGAGTCGACTCAAAAGGTACATGAGTAACTATTGTTAATTTCTGAAACATAATCCTGCCATCATCCTCACCCACTTGTCACACCGCACAGGAGTCACACCGCACAGGAGTCACACCGCACAGGAGTCACACCGCACAGGAGTCACACCGCACAGGAGTCACACCGCACAGGAGTCACACCGCACTTGTCACAGCAGCATCTCCGTCCCATACCTCCCTCCCTGGACTGTCCTGTGTGCGTTCCTCTCTCACCCCATGCACACACACAGGCGGGCATGTGTGAGCGACATGCCATCATTCTCACCAAGCCCATCAGCACAGGAGTCACACTTGTCACACCTACATCTCCTTCCCATACCTGTCTCAGGGATGCCTTGTGTGCGCACCTCGTGTCCCCATGCAGGCGGGCATGCATGAGGGAGATGCCATCATTCTCACCAAGCCCATCGGCACGGGAGTCATCTTTGCAGCCAACATGCGATGCAAGGCCAAGGTGGGACAGTGGAATCTGATTCGCCGCAGAGTCCATGGAGGCTCATGCACACCCTCCCTCCCACCCTTTTTCCCCTACAACATGCGATGCAAGGCCAAGGTGGGACAGTGGAATGGTTCAATGCTGAGCTAGAAGCTCGGGTCATGGGCATAGGGCCTCGGGATCACAAGCAACACTCTTCTCAGACGATTTTTGAGGCGCCAGACGATTTTTGAGGCGCCAGACGATTTTTTGAGGCGCCAGACGATTTTTTGAGGCGCCAGACGATTTTTTGAGGCGCCAGACGATTTTTTGAGGCGCCAGACGATTTTTGAGGCGCCAGACGATTTTTGAGGCGCCAGACGATTTTTGAGGCGCCAGACGATTTTTGAGGCGCCTCAAAAATGGGCATAGGGCCTCGAGCTCACAATCAACACTCTTCTCAGCCAAAAACTTACTCAAAGAACAAAACCTTTCATCAAGAAAGTCACAGTTAATAATACATGACTCCAACAGCTCTCTGGCCATCTTTCCACCATATGAGATTCCTCTCATATGAGATGATTTTTTAGGCGCCTCTTTATCCCAGCTCAGAAGTAGTTCCGACAGCTCTCTGGTCGAATTTACCAGCCCCAATAGACCTAGGCCTCCTTTAGCCCAGCTCTTTTCCTTGAATATGGTGGTGGGATTTCCTAATTACCTCTATCCATCTGCCAGTGCCCCCTCTTTGTACTCAAGCGTTACCTCCTGACCTCTATCCGTCTTCCTCTGCCTAACCCCCCCTCCCTTGTGCTATCCTCCCACACCCATCAGGGACGGTGGGTGGATGGGGCGATCGATAGCATGCTGGTGTCTAATCAGGTGAGTCCATGCAAGGGAAGAATCCCCCGATTCATTCAACAATATCAGCAAGTAACACTGCTGAAACAAGTAGGCCTCCCTCGGCATTGTCCTCCCACAACCATCAGGGACGGTGGGTGGATGGGGTGATCCATAGCATGCTGGTGCCTAATCAGGTGAGTCGGGGGAGGAATGTTGCCCCTACTCCTTCAACAATATCCACAAGTAGCACGGCTGAAGCAAGTAGTGGGTGGATGGGGTGATCCATATCATGCTGGTGTCTAATCAGGTGAGTCGGGGGAAGGCGTGATGTGTCAAGTAGTGTGATGCCTCGCAACTGGTGTAGATTCAGGTGACTTAAGGGCTGAAACGTTCCTTCCCTCATTCCTGTTCAAGCTTCGAAACCAGCAGGGGAACAGCCATTCAATTACATGGCAACATGGAACTCTTGCTGCCACCATCATTACTACCCTATTGCCCCCCTCCTCTCCCATTCCCTTCCCTTCCCTTGCAACCCATCATCCCCCCTTCCCTCACCTTCCTTCCCCTCTTCGCCACCAGAAAGCAGCGTCCATTGCATTGCAACATGGGGCCTCGGCTGCTACTGATGTCACGGGATTTGGCTTACTTGGTGAGTTTACCCGGACCAGTACGTTTTGAGAGGTCTTGATACTACGTACCATGCCATGCCATGCAATGCCATGTCTTACCATGCGCATATTGCGATGTGTGTATGTGACATGCCTTGCCTATGCACATACAACAACCCATGGCTTGGCCTGCGTGTGTGTGTGCCATGCTTCTCCAATGCCGTGCGTATGCATCAACAAGTGGAAATGGCCCCGGCATCTCGAGTTACTGTCACCATCGGTCCCTCTACAATCCCCATTTATTCAATTCGGCCCTTCATGCCTTCCTTGTATGCCTTCCCATGCCGTCTACAGGCCACCTGGTGGAAATGACAACAGCATCTCGAGTTACTGTAACAATCGACCCCTCTACAATCCCCATTATGGTAACCACTTGCACACCTCGTAACCAACTGTAGTGATCGTCCATGTTTTGTAATAGAATGCTTTTCAAGAAGGCGTTTTCAGCTCAATGCAGGATTCGAAGGCTTTTTTTCGTTTCCTTCTCTGAGCCCTCCCTTCCTCTCAACAATGGCACTTTGACTGCATGTAAGGCATGCAAGGTTAGCTCACTTCAGTAATTTTATTCTGAGCTTGAAACATCTCCACCTTTTCCTCAACCTCACCCATCCCGTTCTCTCTCTAGGACGGTGCACGGCAGTGTGTGGAGGATGGCATTTTCAGCTCGCTGCAGGATTCGAACCTGCGCCTGAGACGAGCAATCACCAACTACGAGGAGGTGAGGGAGGGGACAGAATGCTAGGATGTGGGGATGAGATGAGATGAATCGACTAGTGAGTTTCGTAAGCCACATACCATAGACCCACCCCCTCCTTCACCCTTGCCCTCCCCAAAACTCCCTCCCTCACCCCACCCTCCTTCCCTCCTCTCTGTTCAGGCATCCGCCCATCTGCTCACTCTGCTCCTCTTCGACCCGCAAACAGCCGGAGGGCTGCTCTTTTCTTTCCATCCCTAAGCCACGGCCACGCATGGCTTTGAATCGTGACATTGCTATCTGCTCAATGCTTGCCATCTATGCAGCACCTCATGAATTTCTCGCTTCTCTCCCCCATCCCCACCATGGTGTCCAGGCATCCGCCCATCCCCGCACTCCTCTCCTCTTCGACCTGCAAACAGCCGAAGGGCTGTTCCTTTCCATCCCCCAAGCCACTGCCACTCACTGCTTGCTGGCTCTGAAACCCCAAATCCTTCGCTCCACTTTCCCCTTCACCCTCCCCACTCTCCCTCCCTCCCCCTCCCTCTACCTTGTCCAGGCATCCACCCATCCGCTCACTCCTCTCCTCTTCGACCCGCAAACAGCCGGAGGGCTGCTCCTTTCCGTCCCCCAATCCACGGCCACTCAGTGCTTGCTAGCTCTGCACAGAGAGGGGTACCCTGCTGCTGCTGTGATTGGTCGGGTAATTTCGTCATCAACAGAAGAGGCAAGTGGGGATGCGTCTGTTACAATAGCCTACAGCCAGTAAAAGACTGCATAAAGTATGGTATGGCCTTTTTGACAAGAAGTGTTCCCAAGTTTTGGGACGTCTCAAACCTACGCCTCTGTTACATTAGACTGCAGCCAGTAAGGATGCATAAAGTATGTACTATTTGACAAGAAGTGGCCTCCAAGCCACGGCTACACAGTGCTTGCTTGCTCTGCACAGCGAGGGGTTCCCTCCCTGCTGCTGTGATTGGTCGAGTGGCAAGCGGATTCTGAAGGAGAGGCAAGCGGATCACACTGTTACGATGCAATGCTGCCCTATTACAAAAGTATGCTGTTCCGTGTGTGTGTGATGGTACACAATTCCTCGGGTCCTTATATTATGGTACAGATTATTAGATCAAAGGTTCACCACAACATACGGTAACACAAGCAGCAACCAGTGAGGCATTCGTTATATGGTCCAGGACACTGGCTGAACGCATCTGTTATTAGGATGGAAAGATATGAACACTGTAGTGAGGGGGAGGGTCAGGAAGGCCGAAAGGGAGTAAAGGACCTAACAGCATGCAATGAAAAAAGCAAATCAGGGAGGAAAAGCAGCAGTAGGGGCAGTGGCAGAAGGCATGGCTTTCCAGGGTGCAGCAGCAGCAGCAGGAGGAAGAGGAAGAGAGGGTACATTATGGGCAGCAGCAGTAGCAGCAGCAGCAGCAGTAGAAGCAGGAAAAGGAGGGACAGTGGCAACAGGGCCTTTAAGGGCAGCAGGAGCAGCAGCCGGAAAAGTAAGGACTTGTTTGGAGCTCACAGGCAGTATGGATGCGGCTACTGAGCGAGTGGCTGAGGGGATAGACAATTGCAGACACCAGGGGGTGATGCTCTGGTGTAGACACCTGGTGTCAGGGGAAAAGAGTCACTTCTGAGAATTCTCAGGGGCAGCTGCAGGAAGTGAGGTCGAAGTGAGGACTTGTTTAGAGCCAACAGGCGGTAAGAGTGCAGCCACTGAGTGCGTGGCAGAGGTAAGAGACGAGGGGGTAGAGGAAGGGACAGACGAGGGGGTAGAGGAAGGGACAGACGAGGCGATGGATGAGAGAGGAGAGGAAACCACGGCATTCTTTAGAGCGGGGTTGAGAGCGGGAGCGGGATTCCCAGTAGGAGCAGGACGAGCAGGCTGGTTAGGAACGAGGTGCGAGTGGGTGTGGTGAGCATTAGGGTGAGACGCGCCTTTAGAGGCAGGGCGAACGAGCTGCTCTGCTGTGAGGTGCGAGTGAGTGTGGTGAGTGGGGTGAGTGTGGTGAGTGTTAGAGTGAGATGTGCTGGCAGCCTTGGTAGTGGCTGGGCGGCGAGGGGGAATGATGTGCAGCTTCACAGAGTTGCCTCCTCCCCCTCCTCCTGCTGCTGATGCTGTTGCTCTTGGTGCTGCTGTAGCTGTTGCTCTTGGTGCTGCTGCTGCTGTTCCTTGTGGTGCTGCTGCTGTTGCTGTTGCTTTTGGTGCGGCTCCTGCTGTTGTTGTTGCTGCTGTTGCTCTTCCTGCTGCTGCTGTTGTCGCTGTTGTTGCTTTCGTTGCTGCTCCCGTTGCTGCTGCTGTTGCTCTTGGTGCTGCTCCTGTTGTTGTTGCTGCAGCTCCTCTTGGTGCTGTGCCAATTGCTGCTGTTGTTGCTTTTGCTGTTGTTGCTTTCGGTGCTGCTCCCGTTGCGGCTGTAGTTGCTCTTGGTGCTGCTCCTGCCGCTGCCACTCCTGCTTCTGCTCCTGCTGCTCCTGTTGCAACAACATCTGCTGGCAAGGCTAAGCGAGTCGTTGCTTGAATCGCCTTGACACTGCCTGCTGCCCTCGTCCCTCCTGCTGCTACCCTGCCTGTCGCTGCCATTGCTGCCGTCTCTGCTGCTTCTGGGGCAGCTGCTGCTGCGGCTGCTGCTGACGGTGCTGCTGGTGCTTTAGCTGAAACTGCTGCTGCTTGTGCTGAAGTTTGTGCTGCTTGTGCTGCCGTTGCTGGGATTGCTGCCACGGCAGAACCCACTGCTCTTGCTGCTTGCGGCGATCCAAATAGTCCTGCCCACGCTGCCTTAAACGCTGCCTCTGTTGCCACTGCCGACGCTGTAACTGCTGCTGCTGACCTTGCTGCAGCTTCTGCCGCTGGTGGTGCTGCTCCCCCTGCTGCTGGTGATGGCGTTGCTTCTGCTGCGTTTGGGATAGCAGGTGGCACATGCCCTCTTGCACTGCCCGCTGCGCTCCCTCTGCTCTAAAGAGGAGACAACGAGGAGATGAAACGAAGACAAAAGGCAGGGAAGAAGGGAGAGAGAACAGGAGGAAAGAAGGAAGGTTTGGGACAGCATGTGGCACATGCCCTCTTGCACTGCCCGCTGCCCTCCCTCTGCTCTAAAGAGGAGACAAAGACGAGGCAAAATGAAGACAAGAAGAGGAGACAGCGAAGCAGGGAGTAACGGAAAAACGAATGGATATAAGGGACAGCGGGGAAATTGACTGCTGTAAAACATGAAGGAAACGGGAGCTGGGATGCTGACACGAATAAGAATCCACGCAAAGAGACGACAACATCTATGCATTCTGTAATGCATCTGCGCCGACTCAAACATCATCAGAGACGGGAATCACCTTGTAACACTTGACGACGGCAGTTCAGGTGCAACGGGTACACCTGAAGCTCCATCAGCAGAAGTACCTCCACCAGCGGAAGCACCTCCACCAGCAGAAGCAGCAGCAGCAACAGCAGCAGCAGCAGCAGCAGCAGCAGCAGCACCACCACCACCATTACCAGCACCACCAGCACCACCACTACCACCACCACTAGCAGCACCACCAGCAGCACCACCAGCATCACCACCACCCTTCTCCTCCACCTCCTCTTCATCTGAATCTGAGAGCAGTTCAATCACCTCTGCTTCCACAGCTTTAGCAGTACCAGCACTCTTAGCACCGGCAGTCTTAGCAGCAGCACCCTTAGCACCAGCACCACTCTTCCCAACAGCAGTCTTCCCCCCCCCAGGAGTAGTACCACCCCTCGTACTCACAACAGCACCCTTTACTGTCACACTGCTACTCACACTACCCCGCTTCTCCCTCTCTACAGTCCCACGTGTGTCCCTCCTACTCTCCACCACACCACCTCTCCCAGAGGATGCTGCTGCTGAATCACTTGAACCCTTTGCTCGTGCTCGTGTGGCAACAACAAACCCTCCAGAAGCTGATGCTTCTCCTCTACCTCCCTCCTCCATCACGCCACCTCTCCCTAATGATGCTGCAGAATCGTTTGAACCACTCCCTCTTGCTCTTAGAGCAACAACCACCCCCCTAGAAGCTGTTGCTCCTCCTTTGCTTCCCTCCTCCACACCTCTAATCACTCTTTGCTGCTGCTGCCCCTGCTGCCCCTGCCCCTGCACCTGCTGCTCCTGCTCCTGCCCCTGCCCCTGCTGCCCCTGCTGCTGCCCCTGCTGCCCCTGCTGCTGCCCCTGCTGCCCCTGCTGCTGCCCCTGCTGTCCCTGCTGAGCCTGTTCCAACTGCAGTCGAATCTGAGCGGCCTCTTCCTTCGTGCAGATGACATGCAAATCGCGGACCACCATAACAGTCTTCTTGCCCTTCCGATGCCCTGAGCTGCTGCCCGAACCACCACTGCCAGCAGAACCACCCATGCTAACACCATCCTTCCCATCCTTCCTTTCAACTGAACCCCCTTCAGCCATCGCAGTGCGGAGCACCATAAAAGTCTTCTTGCCCTTCCGTTGCCCAGAGGCGCTGCCTGAACCACCACTGCCAGCAGAACCGCCCGTGCTTACACCATCCTTCCCTCCCTTCCCCTCTTTCCCGTCCATTTCCTCCCCCCCTCCCTTCCCAACCTTCCCAATCTTCTCATCCTTCTCATCCTTCCCATTCCTCCTCTCCTTCCCCATATCTAGAACCTTTTCAACCTGTTCCTGACTTCCTTCCGCTTCCCCCTCTCCCTTTCCTCCACCTTCCCGTCCTTCTCCTCCCGTATCTCCATCTCTCTTCCTCTTAACTCCACCCACGCTCGTGCCCCTTCCCCTAGCACAGCCCTCCTCTCCCACCTCCCCTCCTCCCACCTCCCCTCCTCCCACCACACTTTCCACCAGGAGATCACAACCCTCCCCCACTTGCTCCGCCTTCGTCAGCTCCCCTCCTCCCACCACACTCCCCACCAGCAGACCACAACCCTCCCCCACTTGCTCCTCCTTTTTCACCTCCCCTCCTCCCACCACACTCCCCACCACCAGGTCTCGACCCTTCCCCCTTTGCTCCTTCTCTTCCCCAAAACTCTTCTCCTCAAGCCCACGCCCACTGTAATCAGCAGCCGGTTTCTCTTCAATCATTCCATCCATCCCTTCTGCACGCCCATGTGCCTCACATGCCATCCCTGCTGCTGCATGCACGCCCATTGAAATCCCTGCACGCCCACTGTAATTAGCATCCGGTTTTTCTTCAATCATTCCATCCATCCCTTCTGCACGCCCATGCGCCTCACATGCCATCCCTGCTACGGCATCGCCTGCTGGTCTAAAAGCCCCACTAAACGCTGCACCCACCACTGCAGCTGCTGCGCCACTCTTCCCTGCCTCTGAAAAACCCTCAACCCCCACTTGTCCATCCATGTGTGCCGATGATTGAGGCGCCTTAAGAGCAACGCCACTCGAAGCCCCACCCACCACCACCACCGCCGCTGCCCTCTCCACCACAGCTGCTGCTGGCCCATCTCTCCCTGCCTCAGAGCTACTCCCTCCCCTCTCTGGCCCACCCTTTCCTGCCTCTGAAAACCTAGCAAGCTCCACTTGTCCATCCAGGGAAGCAACCCCTGCTAGAACCATGTCCCTTCCTCGCACACAGGGTTCACTCACTTCAAGTCCATTCATGTGAGGCGAACTTGCTGCGGTTACCATGTCCGTGTCTCTTGCAGTCACGGTTTGAGTAGAACAGGGAGTAACTGGCTCCCTTCCCTGCACAGAGAGTTCACTCCCTGTGCGCCCATTCACGTGAGTCAAACTTGCTGTTACCATGTCCGTGTCTCTTGCAGTCACGGTTTGACTAGAACAGGAAAGAACTGTCTCGCTCAACACTGAACCGGGTGCAAGTGTGTCCCTTGAAACTAGAATAGGTGCCAGTGAGGCTGTCTCTCTTGCTGTCCCGTTTTGAGAAGCACCACATAAGACATCGTCTCCCAAAACTGATCTTGTTGTACCCATGTCCGCCTCCCTTCCTGTTACACAGGCCGGACTCGCTGTAACCCCATTCACCTGGTGGTCACCACCAGCTACCTCCACAGCTTCGTCCTCCATCCGGTTGCGAGATGCGTTTTGGGTCGTCTCAAGAGTCCCCCCATTCACCTGGTGGTCACCACCAGCTACCTCCACAGCTTCCCCCCCCTCCACCTGGTTTTGAAGTGCCTTTTCGGTCGGCTCAAGAGTCACCCCATTCATGTTCTGGTAACCACCATTAACCTCCACCTCCACGGCTTCTACCTCCTCCACCCGGTTTCCCTCCTCACACCCCTCGCCTCTCCCCTCACCTTCTCTCACTCCCTCTCTCATCCCCTCTCTCCCCTCCTCTCCAGCAGTCTCTATTACGTCCTCTTCCTCATCCTCCCTCCCCTCTCCTTCCCCACCCCTCCTTCCTCCCTCCTCCCCACTCCCAACCGCACTCGATTGCACTCCATCTCCCTCCGTCCCTCTCTCCAATGCCCCACTCGCCTCCTCTTCCTTCTTCCTCTTTTCCTCCTCCTCCGCCTTCCTCCTCCTCTCCTCCTCTCTTCGCTTCAATGCAATCATTATCATCCTCTCCTCTTCATCCGACTCAGAACAGCTCCCGTCCTCCCCACCACCGTTCTCCACCACTCTCCACCTGCCATCTGGAAAAACCTCCACCTCGTCAACCTCGTCACTCGTTTCATCAAGAATCTTTTGCACTGTGGGGAAAACGGAGGGGTGCAGTGCGGTGCAGTGGGGAGGGGGAGGGGGGTGTGGGGAGAGAGGAAGCGGATGCGGATGCCCATTTGGAAACAAATCCACCTCGTCATCCGTCCCACTCGTTTCAACAAGAATCGTTTGCACTGTTGGGAAAGCAGAGAGATGTAGTGCTGAGCAGTGAGGAGGATGGGGAGGTGCGGGAGCGGGGGAGGGCGAGTTAGAGGCAAAGGAGAGGGAGAACAGGAAAAAGGAGGAAACTGGCAAGCGCAAGGTGGAGTGCGGTGCATGGGGCTTCAATGCGGTGCAGTGCGCTAAAAATGCACTTACTGAATCCATCCAGGAACAGCTCGGACCACAGCAGTTGCTGGTAGCAAACAGGGCAGCGCCACGCTCGCTTGACGTTCTTGGCAAGGCCTTGGTTCAAGCGCAGGTAGGAAGCCAGATCAAATGTGCTCTCGTGAGAGCACTTCTTGCCCCGCACTGGCACCTGCAGTGGGAGTTGGGGGACGGGTAATGGACAATTCAGTATTGATTGAACTGGTTGGGCTGGCGCCTAAACCCTGACTGTCCCCTGCTGGTAGCAAATAGGGCAGCGCCGCTCGCTTGACGTTCTTGGCCAGGCCCTGTTTCAAGCGCAGGTACGATGCGAGGTCGAAGGTGCTCTCGTGGGAGCACTTCTTACCTCGCACTGGCCCAACTTACAAAGCAGTGATGGATGGGCGTGGGAAAACCATATCAGGTAAGTATGGGTCCAAACTTTGGTGCGGGCGAGAGAGCACTTGATGCTAAACACACGAGTGAATGCTATGAACAATAGAGTGGAGTTTGCTAGAGCCTGACAGACCTTGATGCGGGTGAGGGAGAGAGGGCACTTGAGGCTGAGCACAAAGGCTTCTGTCTCCACGCCGCCCTCCCTCAGCTGTGCTGCTGAGTTGCTAATCATCTGTGCCACCACCTCCTCACTCGCCCGCACCTTCCTCTCCTGCATCGTCACCTCCTGTGAGTCACAGGTGTGGAACGGGGTGGAGAGGAAAGAAAGAGGGAGTAAGGGGAAGTAGAGGATGGAAAATCAGGTTTGGGACAGGTCAACGCCACCACCTCCTCACTCGCCCGCACCTTCCTCTCTTGCATCGTCACCTCCTGTGGGGGGGTGGGGGGAAGAAGGACGGCTGTTCGGGTGGGAATGGAGGAATTGAAACGGGTCACTGCGCCACCACCTGCTCACTCGCCTCGCCGCACCTTTCTCGCTTCCATCGTCACCTCCTGTGTGTCACAGGTGGGGTGGAGTGAAGAAGGAGGGAGTTCGGGTGGGAAACGGGGTTCAAAACGGGTCAAAACGGGTCAGTGTGCCATGCCATGCCACCACCTCCTCACTCGCCTGCACCATCCTCTCTTGCATCGTCTCACTCACCAGCTGTTCAATACCCTTCTATGTGCGCATCATCTTGAGCATCTCAGGAGGGTTACACACCATTACTGATTCCACACCTATCTTCTCACTCCCTTCCTCTCTCCCCACTCCGTTCCCCCTTCCACAGCACAATCTTCACCAGTTTTCCCAGGCACTCACAGCTGTTTAATGCCCTTCTCTGAGCGCATCATCTTGAGCACCTCGGGAGGGTTCTACACCACCACCCACTACCTCCACAACCCGGCCGCTCTTCTCCCAACGGCATGCAAGATTCCCAGGTCCCCACTCACCAGATGTTTGATGCCCTTCTCAGTGCGCATCATCTTGAACACATCGGGAGGGTTGTAAGCCACCACCCGCTTTACACAGGATGACAATCCCCCTCCTTATCTCCCCCCCCCCACACCACCCCTCCCGCACCATAAGTGCCAAACCTAGGCAAGAAACAGGCAGGCACTCACCAGCTGTTTGATGCCCTTCTCTGTGCGCATCATCTTGAGAACCTCGGGAGGATTATAAGCCACCACCCGTTCCACCCAGTACAAATCCACATCCGTCCTCTCACACACCTCCCCGCCCACATCACACATCTTCCCAAGGCTCCCCTGGCACTCCGTAGGAAACGCCGGCAGCAGCCGAACCACCGCTAACACCGTCTCAAACAGCTCTTCTTTCGCTGCCTTTTCCTCCTCCGGCTTGCCCTGAAACGGGTCACGCTCGCGGGGGCCCAGACGCCCGTCGACCTTTTTTTCCCACCAGGAGATCAATTCCTGCAGCTGCATTTTCAGCAAGTCCCCGTGCTGTGCTGCTGCCCTGCGTCTGCGGGTCTCTGCCTCCTTCTCCTCCTTCTCCCATTTCGCCACCACGTTTTCCCCTCTCGCTACAGGACTCACATCCCCATCGCCCCCCTCTCCTTGCCCCTCCTCCTCTCCTGTTTCGCCCCCACCTTGCCCCCCCCCCGCTGCCCCCTCTCCCCCTTCCTTCTGCTCACCCGCCGCTTCACCCCCGTTCTCCCCACCCTCTCCCCCATCCATGCCCTCTTTCAGCAGCAGGGCCTTCACCCCAAAAAGCATCTCCACCTGTCGAATCGACTCATGGATCGACCTGAGCGCCCTGTAATGCAGAGGCTCGAGAACTTTAGGCTGTGATCCAAGAAACGCGTCTGAAGTGTCCCCATCGTCTTTTTCCATGTCTTCATCCTCGTCCTTGCGAGCTGTTTTCCTGCGCTTGCTTCGCCATAGGTTAGGCAGGGAGTGCTCTGGAAGTGAGTGCTTTTGAGACTGCTGCTGCGGCTTCTGCTGCTGCGGTTGCTGTTGCTGTGGTTGCTGCTGCTGCTGTGGTAGCTGCTGCTGCTGTTGTTGCTGCAGCTGCAGCTGCTGCTGCTGCTGTTGCTGCTGTTGCTGCAGCTGCTTCTGCTGCTGTTGCTGCTGCTGCTGCTGCTGCTTCTTCTGCTGCAATAGCATCTGTTGTTGCTGTTGCTGCTGCTGCTGTAACATGGGGTGCGGCTGCTGTTGCTGCAGCAGCACATGCTGCTGCTGTTGTTGGCGCGGCATACTGTTCTTCTGCTGCTGCTGTGAAGGCACCTGATGCTGCTGTTGCATCTGGTTGCCTTGAACAGTCAACTGTTGCTGTTGTTGACGCAGCGTACTGCTGTTCTGCTGCTGCTGCTGTGAAGGCACCTGATGCTGCTGGTGTTGCATCTGATTGCCTTGAACAGTCAACTGCTGCTGTTTCGGCTGCTGCTGCTGCTGTCTCAACTGCTGCAGCAGTTGCTGCTGCTGCTTCCACTCCTGCATCTGTTGTTGCTGCCTTTGATACGTCTGCTGCTCCTCGCGAATACGTTGCGCCTGAGATAAGGTTGCATCTTGTTCCTGAACACGCCCTTGTAGCTGCTTCAGCTGCAGCTGCGATGACTGCGTCTGTGGTTGTGTGTGTGGCTTCTTCAGCTGCTCCCACCACTGCTGCTGCTGCTGCTGCTGCTGCTGCTGCTGCTGAGTAGGAGGTTGCTGAAGCTCCTGTGGTTGCTGCGGCTGTTGCTGTTGGGTCGCTTGTGGTGGGAAGTGGGGCGCAACGCCTTGCTGCTTCTGCATAGGGTGGCCTAGCAAGAGTTGCTGAAGGTTTCGTGGAAGCTTGAACCAGGGATGATCTTGCTCCTGTACCTGCTGCTGTTGGTTCGGCTGCTGCTTCTGTCTCTTTGGCTGCCCTTGCTGCTGCCCCTGGTGCTGTTGGTGCTGCTTCTGTTTCTGCTGCTGCTGCCCCTGCTGCTGCTGTCGCTGCTGCTGCGGCGGCTGGAGCGGCTGCGGCGGCTGGAGTGGCTGCGGCGGCGGCTGCTGCAGCTGCAGCTGTTGTTGCGGCATATGCATACCATGCAGGCCAGACAACGGCTGAGGCGACGTGAAATGCTGCTGCAGATGCTGGTGCTGTTGAAGCTGCTGATGCTGTTGGTACTGCTGTTGCCATAGCTGTAACTGGTCTAGCTGCGCCTGCTGCTGAGGCTGCATCATTACCTGTGGACTCGCCTGCTGCCGGCACTGCTGCTGCTGCTGCTGTGGGGACAAAGCCGGCACCGGATTTCCCTGCTGCAGCAAACTGTGTTGTTGCTGCAGCTGCGGCTGCATTATATGCTGATGCTGCTGGGGGAATAGAGCTGGCGGCTTGAGACTCTGCACTGGACTTTGCTGCTGCACCAGCCTGTTCCGTTGCTGTTGCTGTTGCTGCTGTTGCTGTTGCTGCTGTTGCTGCTGCTGTTGCTGTTGCTGCTGTTGCTGTTGCTGCTGTTGCGCCTGCGCCTGCGCTTGCTGCTGGGTCTGCGCTTGCGGCTGGCCCTGCTGCGGTTGCTGCAGGGTGAACTTGCGTGGCCCTGCCAAACCTGGCTGCTGCAACAGCATGTTACGCTGCTGCTGCTGCTGCTGCTGCTGCTGCTGCTGCTGCTGCTGCTGCTGTGGTTGCTGTTGCCGCTGCTGATGCTGCTGCGATTGCGTTTGTTGCTGGCCCACCACCGGCTGCCGAACCTGCGGCTGCAACAGCCGGTTCCGCTGATGTTGCTGCAGTTTCTGCTGCTGCGGCTGCTGATATTGCAGATTGTTGACGGGCTGGTTAACTTGCCCGACGGCTGACGGCTGGCCGGCTTGTTGCTGTCCCTGATGCTGTCGGCGTGCCTGCACTGTCGCTCCCTGCTGCAAACGTCCTCCCTGCACTTGCGGTGCTCCGTGCAATAGCTGTGCTCCCTGTGCGCCTTGAACTTGCGGAATCTGCGCCTGAGGCACGGGGCTTCGAGATGGCACGTTCTGCCTTACCGATCCTGCCATCATAGGACCATGCGTGGCCGGCGTGGCCGCCTGATGCGGTAAGTTCTGATGCATCAACGCCGAGTGGCCGATCCTTTGGGTCTGCAGGTTCGGAGGTGCTGCTGTAGCAGGGCTGATCTGCTGAGAGGGTACGTTCATCAGGGGTGCTTGCGGGGCCTGAGCGACCCGCGAATGCGGTAGAGCTTGATTTCCGCCTTGATTTGCCGGAAACGACGCGGCGATCTCCTGAACTCCCGGATTTGCAGGAGCCGGTGCGGTCCGAAAGGGTGACACACGGTTTGAAGGAACGGAGTTACGAGATGGATCCATGGTGCCTGTCTGCTGTCCTTGCGACTTATAAACCCGAACAGGTTTGTCTGTAAGATCTGAGACAACGCTCTGCTCAGTTACGAACGACACTTCTATGGTTTCTACGCACCTTAAGCCTAGGTTAGTATGGTAGCCATCTAAACAGAACTAACTAAGCGTGTGCGCTGTGGGAAGCGAACTGAGCCTGAGCAGGGTTCGAAGATACTCCAGAACTAGAACTGAGGAATGGATGAATCAGGATTCAGGAATCTCACAGATATCCACCGCTGCTGCAAACTCGAATCAAGCAGGCGTCCCATATTCCCGTCTGAACATGCTTCCGGAAGTTTCTCGTAAGTGCATCGTTTGCTCGTACCTCAGCCTGCTCTGTGCCTACGGTGTTGAGTCCTAAAGCACTAAGACGTTGGATTCTCAAGTTAATAGCGTTCCTAGCAAGGCGATCATTGTGAGGAAGGAATCTAGGAACTCAGCAGCTAAGGAAAGTCCATGTCCCGACGTCACCAAGTCTGCATTACTGCTGTAAGTCATTTGAATCTACCGTTGCCCTGGGTGAAAATCTCTCAGGATTCCCTCCCAGAATAATCTGGTTTCAGGGGTTGCCCGATGGTGATGCTGTTTGTGGTCATCCAGAAGCTCAACACCATGCCCCCTGTCGTAAAGGACAAGCTCGAGGGGCGAAGTGCTGGACGAGTTACATTTGCGAAGACACAATCTGTCACCTGCGGATGGTTACCGAAGCTGGCGTTGTGACGAGCATAGCCTCGCGATAGACAGGGGTCAAATTTGCGAAACCGAGTTTCGCACACTTGCCTTTCAGGAGCGCGGGAAACTCCTTGGCTTGAACCATGTCAGAACTGGGAAAATCTCGAGGTGCAGTTGTTCCCGATATTCCCTGACACAGATGGTCAATCTCGTCCACACGATTCAGATCACGGAAACTTGCCGACATGATCCGTTTGATTTACTCCGATATGAGATCCCCTTCCGTCAGTGAGAATTCAGGGCGGAATCGGCGAAAGCATTCAGGGATGGCATTGATAGGAGTTTGCCCGTGTAAGGCTGGGGATTAGCCAGTGGAAATATGGAGTCTCTCCATTACGAATCCTCGTCGACTAGGTTTTGATACCTTGCTTCACAATATCCACGATGCATTTAGAGGCGGTTTCAAACCTTGTCTTCCAGTAAAAGGCTTTGAAACCTAGGCCTTGCATTCATTCTAGTCGCGAAGGAATCCAGTTTTATACTAGGTCACTGTCAACCTATTCCGCGCGGAAGAAAACTCCTGGTTTTGTCTTCCAGTAGAAGGCGTTGAAACCTAGGCCTTGCGTTCCTTCTAGTCGCCAAGAACTCTAGAATCATACTAAGTTGTCAACCCGTTGTTGCACGCGGAGTATCTTGGTCTCGAGCCATGACGTCAGCTCCTTCTCAAGATAAGTTCATTACCGGACAGCGAGTAGCTCTTAAGGAGCCCGAAAAGGGCCTCCGTTACGCGCCGCGTGGCACCGTGCGATACGTCGGACCCGTGGACGGTCACAAGGGCGAGTGGGTTGGCGTAGAGTGGGACGATCCTTCGCGAGGAAAGCATGACGGAGTGGTAACCGGGAAACGTTACTTCCATTGCGAAATGGTCCCTGCTGGCACGCCAGCCGGATCGTTTGTGCGACCGCAAAAGCTGACTGGAGGGGTCACTCTGCGTGATGCATTGCTGGACCGCTATAACACAAGCGGGGAGGACTATAAAGGTGCATATTCTTTCTCGCATTGAACAACGATGCCCATTTCGCGCATCATTACTCGTTGCTATATTACAGGCCATTATTCCAAGGTGGAAATTAATTTGATTTGACGTATTCAGTGTTCCTTTCTCACATAGCATCTGCATATTTTCGTATCTTGCATCGATCCACTCTACAGCGGAGCCCATTTACAGGGCTCTAGGCCGGCGAAGGGCCATGGTGATCGAATTCGTGTCTGCTCCAGCGAATAAGAGTGGAGCAGATAGGGCTGGAGAAGGAATCGATACAGCTGTGCTGGGGAATGATAGAGACGCATCTGGCGGAGTGGGGGGATCTGAGGAAAAAGGGACTCAGGATGAATCAATGGGAACGAATGGAGGCATGTTGGGTGGAAGAGAAGGCAGGGAAGAGGACAAGGGCGAGCCGCCCAAGAGAAACGGGATGTGGCTGTCTCGTCTCCAGGCTGCAAACGTGTCGGAAGTGCCTGTGGGGTCGGTGGGAGCTGTAGGGGAGGTCGCAGCTATTGCATGTGAGTGCTTGCGGCTTTATTTGTTAAGCTCCTAGAAAATTGTCTTCAGGGTGCAAACGTGTCGGAAGTACCCGTGGGATCGGTCGGTGGGAGCTGCAGGTGAGGTGGCCGCTATCGCATGTGAGTGTGTGTTGCTTGTCCCTTCTGCACGCAGTGGCTGATGCGTGTTTCGAGGCGTACTGCTTGTGGATACTTGCCATTTCCTCCTACCCAGAGTGCATGCGTGATTTGAGAGTTCATAGCATGTGCTGCCTCCATTCTACTCTCTTGATATCCCATTACCTCCTCAGGTCAAATTTGAGAGAGGGCCTCCTTGCATTGCATGTGCTGCGGCCATTCAACCGTCTCAGTGCTCTCTTCTCTTTGCTTCTCGTCTCAGTGCTCTCTTCTCTTTGCTTCTCGCCTCAGTGCTCTCTTCTCTTTGCTTCTCGTCTCAGTGCTCTCTTCTCTTTGCTTCTCTTCTCTTCCTCTGCATCCGTCTCCCCCAGCCCTGACAGAGCTTGACATGTCATACCACCTGCTCAACACCTGGCACGAGGTGCAGAGGGTAGGGGAGGAACTGCCAGGCCTCACAGCCCTGGACATCGGCCATTCCAGACTCTCCTTCCCTTCGTTTGTTGGAGTCTCGCCTCCTCCTCCTCCTGCGCTCTCCGTCTCTCCGTTGGCTGCGCTAAGGAAGCTTGGGCTGAGCAACACACGGGTCACATGGGCCCAGGTTCGTGGGGCACGGGTGAACGTGAAATATCTTTTCTTTTTAGACGCCTCAAAATCCCCCCCGTCTCTCCATTGGCTGGGCTAACCAAGCTTGGACTGAGCAACACACGGGTCACATGGGCCCAGGTACGTGGGGCACGGGTGAACGTGAAATATCTTTTCTTTTCAGACGCCTCAAAATCCCCCCCGTCTCTCCATTGGCTGGGCTAACCAAGCTTGGACTGAGCAACACACGGGTCACATCGGCCTAGGCATGAGGAGCACAGCTGGAGGTCTCCTCTTTCTTCTTCCAGCCCCATTTTCCTTCCAAAATTCTTTCCTATATTTCTCCTCAAATACTTACCAGTTTCCCTCCAAATCTGCTTCAACCGCTCCTTACCCCTGCCCAATCTCCTTGCTTCAACTCCCCATTCAGGTGGAGGAACTTTCACGGCAGCTTCCCCTACTCGAGACCCTGGTTCTGATTAAAAACGAGATCTCAGGACTGCGACCCAGCTCTGGTGCCGATGCCAGTCGTGCTCCTCTGGACTGCCTTCAGGTGAGAAAGCAGGCAACTTCTGAGTTGTCTCAGTAGCCTCCTCGAGACCCTGGTCTCAGGAGTTGTGCCAGTTCCGCCTCTCCTTACAGTGGCCCATCGTCATTGCAGCTTACTGCATTCTCCTTGTCTTAACAGGCTCCTGCCGACCCTTTTCTCTCCAACCCCCTGCTGTCCTCCCCTCTTCTCCACCTTCTCCTCTTCATCCCCTCCCGTCCCAACCCTCCTCTCCAACCACTCCTGTCGGCCCCAGCGCCCCTCACAGCATCTGACCTACCTAGACCTATCTGACAATCGCATTGCTCACTGGGACGATTTTTGAGGCGCCTCAAAGATCCTCTCACTGCATCTGACCTACCTGGACCTATCGGACAATCGCATTGCTGACTGGGTGACACTGTTCCCCCTCTCCCTTTTCTTTCTGACCTGCCTTCACTGCAACTTGTGCTCATTAAACCAATTCACTCTCACTCCCCTTCCCCCTCACAGCACCTGACGTACCTGGACCTATCGGACAATCGCATTGCTGACTGGGCCCAAGTCTCCTTCCTCTCAGCCTTACCTTCGTGAGTGCCGCTGCTGCCACTCCTACATCAACACCAGCACTAGCACTATCACCGTCGCCAGCCACAGCACTCCTGTGCACCCATCACAGCACCTTTCTCTCAGCCTTACGCTTGTTGAGTGCTGCTTCTGCCACCTCTGTGTTGTGTTGCTGCTGCCGCTTGTGCTGCTTATACGTCTTCTTGCCACTGCTGCGGCTCATGGCTGAGATTTCGCACCAGCATGTGCCTTGTTATGCGTTCTCCTGTATTCTTTGCTCGTTCTGCTCATCCTGCTGCAAGGTTTTTGTAACCTCCCCTGTTCTCTCGCTCATTCTCCTTTTTGCCCTCATTCTCCTTTTTGTCCTCATTCTCCTTTTTGTCCTCACCTCATTTCGTTCCTCTTGTTCCTCCTTGCTCCGTGAACAGCTTGAAGTGGCTGCTGCTATCAGGAAACCAAATCACCAACATCCCAGGGAATGATGGCTCGCCTGCAAACGCCTCTACCTTTCACAACCTGCACCATCTTTCATTAGGTACGCACTTTTGCGAGCTCTCATAATTCACTTACGAGATCACTGGTAAGACTTCAACCAAAGATGAATTTGATTTATGCGCATTGCCTGAAATTGTACCTGTGCACATGCGTCATACTCCTCCCTCCTTGCCTGATTCCCAACCCAGCTGACAACAACATGTCTCAGTGGTCGTCCGTATATGCCCTGGCCATCACATGCTTTTCAATGTCATGCAACACAGCTTGAGTCAACTTGAACTGCTACCTGTGTGTGCACTCCTCCCTCTTTCACCCCATTCCCAACCCAGCTGACAGCAGCATGTCTCAGTGGTCGTCCGTATATGCCCTGGCCATCTCATGCTTTTCAATGTCATGCAACACAGCTTGAGTCAACTTGAACTGCTACCTGTGTGTGCACTCCTCCCTCTTTCACCCCATTCTCAACCCAGCTGACAACAACATCTCTCAATGGTCGTCCATAGATGCCCTGGCCATCACATGCCCGAACCTCAAGGTATGGCACATGTTTTTCCCCAACATCACATTCCCGAACCTCAAGTACAATGTCCAATCTCTCTTCTCAAGTTCTACAATACTTTGGATTTCTCCAATCTCAACTTGAAGCTTGCCGACAAATTTTTTATTTTTCAACCTTGCTTCTACCTTCCCTTCCCTTCAACCTGTCTCTTTCCCTTTCATCTCTCCCCTCTTTATCAACATCCCAATCTATTCTCTCGCCAGGAGCTTGTTCTCTCCCACAAGCCATATGTGCCCAGATTGCATTCAGCCAATCAAACGCCAGCATCAGCCAGTGCTCCAGCCAATGGCAACGTGACGAAGTGCAACGGGACAGAGGGCAGGGCAACAGCGAATGGGAGCCTGACACCTGGCAGTGACGGTGCTGCTGCTGCTGATGGGGAGGAGGGTGGGAGGGTGGAGAGGTGTGAGTTTGGGCTTGGGGTGACGGAGGAGGGGAGGATGGGAGTGATTGCGAGAATGGGGTCAATTCAGAAGCTCAATTGTGTTCAGGTGAGATTCTCTACATCTCAGATCATGACGGGGTCGATTCAGAATTACAAGGTCAATCCAAAAGCTCTATTCCGCTTAGGTCAATTCAAAGCTCAACGTTGCTCAGACGAGTGGAAATCTGTGAAGCTCCCTCAATACCAGGTAGAAGAGAGTGATGAGATGATGGAACTCAGGGAGCGCTTGGATGCAGAAATAGGCACATCTCCCATGCCATCTCAACAATTTTGTGTGTGTTTCCATGCCTGTTTGCATGCCTGCCTGCTTATGCATGTCCCCGTGTGTAATCAACACATCAGATCCTACCCAGGGAGCGCATGGATGCAGAGATATGGTACATCTCCCACACCATCCGATCGCTCCCCCATGCCACATCCGTTCCCCAACTCATCTCCTCCGGCCACCCAGCAATCCCTGCTCTTCTTGCCAAATTAGGCCTTGACTTGGTATCAGAGCGACGGAAACTCCTCCCAGGCGTCCATGCCAACGCTTCCACAGCTGCTACTCTTGCTCCTGGTTCTGCCGGTGCTGCTGGTGGTGCTGGCAGTGCTGGAAGCAATGCTGCTGATGTTACTGCCAGCTCCAACCACCCCAGAAGCTCTTCGTTCCTCAGTAAGCCCTCAGACCCCTCCTCTTAGCAACCCTCCCCCACTCCGTGATCTCCTTCCACTCTCTCTTTTTTCTACCTTCCAAGCCTTTTGATGTCTTTTCCATCAACCTCTGAGCCTATTCATAAGTGAATGCTCTCCTTGCCATCACCCCTCCGTTTGCGCTCGTTTGTTTTGTTCATTCCAGGCATCACTTTCCGGGTGATTGCTCCTGAATGTGACAGTACCAGCATGGCAAAGGAAGTTACCAAGAAGCTTCCTCAGTCCACAACTGTAAGTGCTAGCTCGCTAAAAATATAGCATCTGTTCACTCATCGCTCAAGACACTACTGCTGAGTTGAATCGCTGGTGTTTGAAAAGCCTGCTGACAAGAATTGGCTTAACAGGCATGTCACACAAGCTGTCACTGAACCAGCATGTTCGCTCGTGGGTCTGAGCTGTCCAGAATGACATTTTTCTCGACTAAAGGCACATGCTGGTCACAGCATGGTCCAGCATGGACACATGCTGTTCATCCATTCGCCCTCCCTTCGCTGCACGTGCACATCTGAACTGCATGGTCACAGGTGTCTAAAATGCGACCCCTCATTGCTCGATTGCTCAAGCTGGAGCCCCGCTCCTTCTCCCTCTTCCTCCTGCCATCCACCCTCGAAGGCGTTCAGGTAGGGAGGCAGGGAGTTGTGAGAAAGGATTGAGGGTAGAATTTTAGAGCTTAGACTTACAGGCTTGCGTGATTTACGTCTCTTGGTTACCTGAGAGGGGCTCGGAGGGATGGACTCTAGAGCTTACGATTACAGGCTTGCTGGATTTGCGGGCCTCTCACTTCACTCCTGCTAGAGACGATACCATGCCTTTGGGAGTGCTGGTGCGTTCTGGTACTATAGCTCCCTTGAGTGCTTCTCGAATGGTGGATGCTTTACAAACCAGCATCCTTATTGATGTGCTTGTTGCTTTATGCTGTTCTTTCTCCCACGCGCCCTGCAGCCTCTCCCTTCACTCCTACTGGACGATACGGTGCCTTTGGGGGTGCTGCTGCACTCTACTACCACAGCGGCTTTGAATGCTTCACAAGCGACCATCCTTGTCGATACCTCGCTGGTGAGTACATGATGTATTCTGGGGTATCAGCACACCTATACTTCATTCGCCATTACCTTCAGCGACGTTGATGATGATGTTTCATTGACAAAATTGGAATGTTTTTCTCCTCCCCCTTTTTTAATTCTATTGTACAGGATGTTCAGCAGGCAGAATCGCTTTCAGTTCCTCAAGTTTTGGCATGTGAGCAACGGTTACTAAAATTGCAGGAGAAAGTGTGAATTATGCGTTTGCTCAATATTGCTTAATGAACTGGGTAGTAAGTTATGCTGACTATTTATTGTTCGCTTGAGCCAACAAGATAGGGTTTTCATCCTAGCGGGGAGAGGTACCTGAACCCCTCCGCTAAAAGGGCAGGGGTAGCGCTTTCTGCGCATGGTTTTCGCAAAAGGCTGGGCTAGGGGGGGAGGGTTATCGTTCAGGTTAGGGAGTCGAGCCCTCGATGAGCCACGTGTTTCATCCTACGCTTGCTCGCTCACTGTACATCCCAACCACAGATTCCGCACTGCGCGCGCTTGTCTTTTCTACCGAACCCATCCCACGTTCCGGGTGGCACGACGGGTCACTGTTCCCAAACCACTGTGGCCCTACCTTTCGCGCCAATACTTGCTACAGCTTCACTGAAAACGCACAGAAACTCCGTCAAAGGACTTTCAAGTCAAGGTTTGGCACACAGGAAAAGCGAAACACAATACAGGTAAATCCGTTACGATAGGTTGAATTGATAGCGCATAGAATGAAAGTAGGGATATAAAATAAGAATGCCTAGGTCAGGTTTTCATATGCAAAACCTTGATTTGTGTTATTAAACCCCTGTCGGGTTTAGTATTGGATCAGTGACTATGTTTTTTTTTTTTTTTATGAAGATATATATTTCTATAGATATTGTATCTCAGTGTTGTTGGAAACAATAAGTCCTAAGTGCGCTTCTGTCGTATCAAAACCCAAGGCACCAAGCGAAGCAGTCCCAATCGAAGCATCGAGTCAACCTCGGAGGTTAGGGTAACCGCCTGGAGGTTACGAGAAAGTCAAAGGTCGCTGACCTTTGACTCGACAATTACAGCGCGACAGTTAAGGACACACAACTGACTCGTTACAGAGCAGTTGCCCGAGTCGCACTGTATTGAACCGCAACAGCAATACAGTTATCTACATATCTATTCGTATTCCCTGTACTCTTATATAAATCCTTGTATTTGCTTGTTTAATTCAATCAACTTTGCTCTCACACACCAGTGCAAGGTCGGTTCAAATTCTTCACTAAACGCTTCCGCTATTACAACTACTTCACCTAGAGTTATCCCTTGCAAAGATCCTAAGGGGCTATCTCAGCCCAACATGGTATCAGAGCAGACAAGGGAAACTCTACTCCTTTTTTCAAGATCATTACAAGACATGGCAACAAACAAGGAAAGGAGCTCCCCTAATGGCTCCTCGGGCACTACTCCTACTCCACCGCCAGCCTCTGGCCTGCAGACAGAAGAAGGCACGGCAACAAGACCAAGAGGAACGTCAACCGAGACCCCCATGAACCACCCTTCGGACTTTGACCAGAACATGATGGAGAAATTTTTCTCCTTCATGTCCTTCTACGAACAACACCAGCAGTCGGGACCTGCACAAACACACAACAGCAACAACGGAGCGACACCCATGAGTCTTGATGGGTCGTCATATGCGCGAGGAAACCAGCAGCAGCAACCTACCTTTGCTCCGTACGAGCGCGGGTCAATCAGCTTCGTGCCCCACCCGCAACCTTCACCTGGACAAGAAAGACCACTGGACGCACTTCAAGTTCAGTCGCAGTTTGCACACGTCTTAAAACTGCAAACGTCAAGACCCTTCGACGGCAAAGACTTCTTTACCTGGTCCTTTGAATTCGAGCTGATGATGGAGGGCGCGCAGATACTCGGCTTCTTCGACGGGTCCCTGCAGTATCCAGCCAACGGGACACAATATGAAAAGCAGCAGTATACGTATCAATCAATGATGGCGTATACAATCCTATTGAGGAACGTGACACCAACTCAGCAGCAGAACATTCGCTCTTACCGGACCTTCGGCAACTCGGCGGAGCTCGCGTACAGCCATCTGAAGAACCTGTATCAAGCAACAGACAGTGTAAACCAGAGCAGGTTAATGGCGCAGTTGACGACAGTCGAAATGAAACCAGGAGAAAAAGGACTGGCGTATATCAGCCGATGTCGCGAACTGCGCGACAAGCTGCTTCGATGCGGAGGGTCAATCTCTGAAGACGCCTTCGTGACAATCATCATTGGTGGGCTTGGTCCTCAGTGGCGCGCCACCAAAGCCATTCTTCGAGCCCACGGAAGAATCTCTGAAGCTGCACTCTGCGCCGAAATACATGCCGAGCAGCAAGATATGGACCTGCAGGAAGACGACACAGGAAGAAAACGACAGTATCAGAGTTCGCATTCCACACTCAACGACGACACAGCAATTATAACAACCGACAGCAGCAACCGAAGATAGTACCTCCTTTCTGCCACATCTGCAAGACTTCAGGGCACCCGCGCACACACTGCCCGAATCGTCAGCAATCAACGGCACCACAGCGACAACTTCGACCTTCAAGCTCCCAAATGGCTTCAACACAAGCAAGTGCGACGACCACTATTCAAGCTTCAACGACTTCACCCGGACAACCTGCACGAGGAGCAAGAAATATAATCAACTGCATGACGAAGATAACCGATTCGTGTACAACCGAATCACCACCACACTACTCACCGGAAGAAGAGCTTGACAACAGAACGCCTCGCCGTGAGCTACTCCAGCCGAATCCAACGTACGCCGCCATCGCTCAAAGTGAACCGTCCGGCCAAGACACCTGGTTCTTGGACAGTTGCTGCGGGCAACACATGTGCTCGTCCGGGCGTTTCGTACAACGCGAACATCGACTCCAACGGGAAGTAATCATCACGGTTGCCAACAACCAAAACCTGCGCACACGAAGACAAGGAGTGGTACAGCTTCAGTCAAGAGAAACACATGTCATACTGCACATGTCTAAGGTACTCATCGCTGAAGGACTCGGCTACAACTTACTGAGCGTTAGCCAGTTGATGGCGAAAGGAATTCATCTGGAAGCCGACAGCACGACCCAGGAGTTCAAGCTTTACCACGGGAGAGGCGGTCTCTACATCGGAAAAGCAGTGCTGAAGAACAACGTCTTCGTCCTCGACTTCGTTCCTGACCTGGGCACTGCAGACAGCGACGCCATCGTGAATTTCACTGACTGGACACACCCTCCGGATCTCGACCCCGACTTCAGCCCGGGAGGCTTCTGGTACTCGCACACCATTCCTGAAGCAGAACGAACACGAGCATTAGCAACAATTCGACAATCGGCAGCAGCAGCAACAACATCGGCAGCAGTAACAACATCGGCATCAGCAACAACAACATCGGCAGCAGCAACAACATCGGCATCAGCAGCAACAACATCGGCAGCAGTAACAACATCGGCAGCAGCAACAACATCAGCAGCAGCAGAAACAACGACACCAGTCACAGTCGACGAAGCACCACCAACACCCGCGCAACAGCTGAATCCGACTCAACGTGAAGTCCACCGAAGCGCCAACCTCGTCGCCAGCTTTTACTCCAACTCCGACGCATATCAGCGTTCACCTGGACACCGCGCCTCTGAAGAGATCTGGCACGCACGAACAGGACATCCAAGCAACACGGTTTTGAATAACACGATAAGAGCAGGAGTCCTTGACAAAGATTCTCTACTTCTACCCGATGGCAGAGAACTCCAGAAGGCACGAGGGACTTGCCTTATATGTCCCGAAGCTGACTTACCTCATCGACCGTTTGCTTCACATCACAACCCGAGCGCTCCAGCGTACGCACCACTCGAAAAGGTCTACAGCGACATCCTCCACAATCGCGAACCAGGACAA